ACACACACACACACACACACACACACACACACACACACACACACACACACACACTGACTATCTGCCATCTTTTTAACCTTTCTGCTGTCACAGCGTGCTCAAATTCAGCCTGTTTCTGCTCTGCCTACATGGGCCACACCCTGAAATCCTGGCACACAGGGACAGATATAAACATGTGCACATACAGCATGTTCACTTCCCTCTTTCAGAATCCTCAGCTCAGCTTGATAATGACACATGTTTGCAGCTGTGACAGGTTAACTGCAAATAGCTCTTCAGCTGCTGCTACTGCTCCCCATGGAGACACAGTTAGTCATCAGGGGTGCTCGCAGTAGATGTTAGGGTTGACTTTGTGTGTTTGGTATAATTATACTCCCTTTGCAAAAAAATACACTTTACTTTTCAAAAACAATAATTTTGGATGCTCCCAGCATCAAATGCAGGTTTGACAGGTTTGTGAGTGTACACTTTATTCAAAACCTAGTGAGGGTTTAATCATGTTTACTACTGGGTAGCTGTAGCTCAGGAGGTAGAGCAGGTCACTTACTGATCACAAGGTTAGTGGTTTGATCCCTGGCTCCTCCAGTCTGAGTGTGAATGTGTATGAATGTAGTTAGGAAGCAGTCAGTTTAGAGAAAGTGTGTGATTGACTGAATATGGCCAGCACAGGACCACCAGTGTGTCTGCAACTGCCTTTGTCCTGGTCCATGTGTGGGCCACATCTGGCAAACCTGGTCTGGACCACCAAAGGGCCGTCATTCTTTGCAGTATGTGGGCATGTGTAAGCACATTCTGTGGGCCAGATCCTGGCCATACCAATTTTGCTGTGTGGGTCAGTAGTCAGTCCCGTGTCTAGCCAGCTTTAAAAAAAATTGTTTTTATGTGTTGATAAGATGGATGTGATCATTTTGTACTAGTATAGTGTTTAGTATAGTGTTAAATCTATGCTCTAACCTGATGTGCATCTTCTCAGAAATGTTGCTACATATTGTAGTTTTATAGATGCCAACAGCTGTGATAGGCCTGCTTGATAGAAATATTGGTTAGCAGAAAGATTAATACCTCTGTAAAAAAAAAATGCGATAGGCTGAAATAAATGTAGCATGCTCATTATGCTAATATATAATACTCTGCCAGGTTAGACATGCCATTTTTCACATTTTCATAGTGCTGACAATGCATTTACAGATTAATTTGGTACTGATCTTCTCTTCTTCCTGCATCCAAGACATATTACCTCACTGCAGAGCGTTGTAAGCACACCAGCAGATGAGTGTAAATGAAAATAATGAGCTGCAGTCTTAAAAATGTGGTGTCTTGTGTTCCTAAAGTTGCACAGGTACCACTATGCTTGTTTGTGATGTAATGCTTCCCAAAAGAAAGGCTGCATTAGTGACAAAGTACTTCTACTTCATCTGATTGTGATCAAATGTTATTGATTCTTTATTTAGTTACGTTGATTAGTTTCCTGAAATGTGCCTGAATAGAATATCAGTCAAAACAGGATAGTGAGTTAAATTTCTTAAGATGCAAATGCAAAAATATCTTCTTGCAAGTATCACGATAAATAACTTACTTCTACATATTTAATTTTAAGTCAGGGTTGTCAAATTCAATTAACTCAGTGCAGTTTGATGTTTAGCTTAATCTAGATGTGTCATTGAATCTGTAAAAAAATGTCCCATGCTGGCACCAATCAAACTTGAAAAAATGTATCAAGCAGAATAAATCCTGTGGTTTTTGGCTTGGATTTGGCAGGCTGTTCTTTCTTGGCTGGGTTTTAGGGAGTTTAACCCAGCAGGCATGTTGAAGACCACTTTATTTCTCTCAGACCCACTCTTATAAATGTTTTCCTATTTTGGCTCTTATTCAGCTTCTTTGAGCCCTCAAAGGGTTTACCACACACATTCTAATCTATTCATTTTGGCTAATAACATACAAGCTTTGGGGGATTTACTCAACTTATCTCCTGTTGCAAGGATTCATAAGTAAGCTTTGACACAAAAATAATAGCCTCCAAGTTGTTTTTCTCAACATATTTCCAAAGTATTAAATAGTCTAAAATAAGCTTCGAACATTAAATATTACTGCTGTTTTAGGATAATAAATACTTTTCTTTTTACATGGGAAAAGTTTATTTTAGCAGCATTCGAAGATTCTAATTGTTTGTGCATTCATTTTTTCCTGTGTGTGTCTTTTGTTCAGCTCATTGTAATACATTGTATGTTTAGGATAATAATCATTTTCTCCTGTCTCTGTCTTCCTGCAGACAGACGTAAACGCTTGTTATCTGCGGGCTGCTCGGGCTGGCAACCTTGAGAAAGCGTTGGATTACCTGAAAAATGGGGTTGACATTAATATTTGCAATCAGGTAAGCTTGCTAATAAGACTGCACCATTGTAGAGTTTTTTAAAGTAAAATTTCCATATAAACAACTCAAACCATGTATCCAGTCTTTTTATTGCTGAAACTCCAAACTCAGCTTTAAATTGTAGGAATAGTTCTTCTAGTTATTTATATAATTTGTGAAGCAGGCACAACCTTAGACTATTGCCATGCCTGCATGGTCACCAATTCAGCCAATGGTTTGTTGTGTTACATTCCCTAAATGCACGACTTACAGGAACTAAACTAAATTAGTTCAAGTATACCAAATGGTTTGGATTCAAAATCACACATAAAGAGTTTATATGTTGAATGTTAGTCTCAATAGAGACCAGATTTGCAGTGGAAAAAGCAAAACAATAAAGATTATTTTAATTTAATCTCCATTCCTCTTCCTCTCTTTTCTTTCTCTCCAGAATGGCCTCAATGCTCTCCATCTGGCTTCGAAGGAGGGCCATGTGGAAGTGGTGGCTGAGCTCATCAAACAGGGTGCCAATGTGGATGCTGCTACTAAGGTGTGTGCCACCCAGGAGTCGCATAAACATACAATCACTCACACAGGCACACTGTGTATGCATGAATTCACAGACACACACACACAAAGTTTGCTGAGTCTGCACCTTCCCAAAGTCACATTGATTAAGCAGCAGGAGAGGAGATGAATGGCTGCATGTGAGTAGAGAGGTCAAGTACTGATTTAGTATAAGTCCTGTCACGGACATTCCGGTATTTCACCACATAGGGCTTGTTGGTCTGGTAGTGTATGTAAAGTGTTTGACAGTGAAATGCTCCACTGCATTAAATTTATCCATTAGAAGAAAGGCGATTAAATTCACGATGATTGGATTTTCTGCCATGATGCTGACATCACCACACTAAACTAGGTTAGTGGGAGTAATTAGGTAATAACTCACAATTCTTACAGATGTTTCCCAGCACTGAAGCAGTCTGCTTACAACAATGTTTTTAAAAATACTAATACAGGGTCGTGGTATTAACACCAGAGACTTGCAGCTGATGCTATTTGTGCCCATGTGCCATGCACTATTAGTTTACTTTGTCTGATTTTTCATTATATTGTTCAAGATAGTTGATGGAGTCCCTCAAACCCTTCTGTAACACATCTGTGCGCATGAAAACTCCAAAATACTGGGTATAAATGTGTAAGCATTTGGTTAGGCTTGTTAGTGACTTATTAATACTATCTGAGCATGCTGGAAGTGAGTGAAAAGGCAGATGTAAAAACAGCTCAACAATTAATAAACAAAATTGCAAAAAGCAGCTTAACTATTCTGTTCTAATCTTTGAAAAGTCAACTTTCTAACTAGAATATCTGTCAGAAATGCTTCCAGAAGGTCAGATACCTTAGGAAACTCCATTATCTGTAACATACAAAAGCTGATAATCCATTATTGTCCAGCTGCATATACAGGTGACATTTAATTGCACAGGGCAGAAAAAACACAAGAACAAGAGAAGAAAGGAGAGGCCTTTGTAGCCCTGCAGGTGTGAGCATTGTAATATATCAATAGTTCTCTGGGACTGTAACCTGAATCCTTCCAGAAGAAGACAAATTCTGGTTTTAATATGTGCTTATATAGTAATTATGCAAGTTTTTAAAGTGTGGCTGTAATGGCAGCCCTTGTAAGTGTTTTATGTGCGACATAAGTGAGCCAAGGAAAGAATACACTACTGTACATTTCATTCAGTCACAATTTATGTTATGCTGTGATGGGGGAAGCACTTCTATTCATATTTAGCTTGAATAGCAAACTAAAACTACAACATTAACAAAAACAACTATGTCAAGGAATGCTACAAAAATAGTCAGAAAATGTCCAATAACAGGTTTTCTCTGAACAGACATGTTACAAAAGCAGTTTAAAGGTGTCTGATGTGTATCCCTCACTCATACAATGGCTCCCAAATGAGCCATGAAAACTTCAAGAATCCCAAATTAATGTCAGAATCAAACCGTTGTATCTTGTTCTAAACTAGATTCAGCAGCAGTAGGAAGGAGAGGCGAAGCATGTGAGGAACGAAGCGAGGTGTATGTGCAGAGGGTTTAGTGGCAGTAAGAATGACAGCATGGCGACAGCTGCTGCTTGCTATGGCTCACACACATATAACAGGTGCATCCATTAGAGCTGCAGTATGAGTAATGCACATATCAGACTAGCTCTGCTAGTCTTTTCAGTATGTAGTAGTTTTCTTCTTTGTATTTCCATTTTTTTTCTCTTTCTGTGACTCTTGAACGTTTATCTTCCCGTTGCACAGTCTGTATCTGTTATTCAAGTTGAACCAGTGTTCAGAAGTAATGCTATAACCTTAATTTTCACCCTTAACATGTGCATATGTGTTGTTCAGGGTTATGTATATTTAATCTGTATATATCTGTATATGAATATGCTGGGTCTATGGACAAAGGGAAACAGGCAAAGTTTCTTTTGGTTGCACACAGTTAAACACTTGATGTGAAGTGCAAAAGATACAGTCTTATAATTAGCTAGCTACTGACAACAATTTAGCTGTTTATGTTTCCAAATGAACAGTATCTGACAGTTACCGTAGACTGTGTTAGGGGCCTAACAAGTTATAAATAATGTGGCATCACCAACAACAACAGTCCTATAAAAGGACAGGTAAAGCTTTGCTCTAGAAATGCTGTTTATTTTGGTAACAAAGCGCAAGACCAAGTTGACTGGTTATGAAGTATTAGTGCTTGCAAGTTAAGGCTAATAGGCTAACTGCTGGTGTCCTGACTGTTGGGCTAGTGCACTTGACTCAGTCGTGTCATAGTTAGCAGAGCTGGACACATCAGGATGCTCTAGTACTCGATAAGTTAACTACTGTTAAATGCCAAAGTAAACAAAGAATAAAATTCATGCTAGTAAAGTTAGCATCAGTTTCTAGCATCAATCAGCAGACCAGCTAATGGATTCAGATTGTGTGCTCATTTTCATTCAGTGGGCAGCCCTTTAATCTGTGCTCGCCAACAGAACAAAAGACAGTGAAAATGAATGATATTCATGAACAGATATGAACAGATTTTGATTTGTAGACTTATTCAGTTTGTCAGTCTTCTGTTTTGGGGGGAATATGCTCTCTCCAAGCTTTACATTATAAATTATATAAATTATATTACAAGGTGCAACTATTATTTTGTTAGCCTAATTTTATTTATAGTTTGTGAGATTAGCGCTAATCATAGTTTGCATATATACACACACAGTCCCAAAGTTATATTAATTGTCCTTTCCTGTGAATTCTAATTTATGATTTACAGACATCACAGACAATGATATCATATTGCAGCAAATATTAAGGTTTGATTGAGATAGGACTTTAATAAAAAGTGATATTTTTCACTCAATTTGCAGCAATCAGACACTGAAGCTTGTAAAAGTGCTTTAAAAGCTTCCATAGCATTAAGTCAATCCATGCTGCTTTTAACTCTCCTGCACTCCCCCAGAGAGATGTGTGTGCAGTTTGCACTTCTGCTGTAAACAAGCAATATGCAAAACATTTCTCCTGTGTGACTCATAAACATCCACATAGCCCAGGCCTTTACATGCATCCAAAAAGCTAAAAATAATTCTTCCTAAGTTTTCCTAAAATTTTAAATGTTTGTTTTGTTTCTATTCTTTAGAAAGGAAACACTGCCCTCCACATAGCTTCTCTTGCTGGACAGACAGAGGTGGTGAAGGAGCTTGTCACCCACAGTGCCAACGTCAATGCTCAGTCTCAGGTAAGGCATCCCCTCTCGAAAACACAGACACATGAACTCACAAGGCTGTACGGTGAAATCATCTCTTTTGGAAGACCATGTTTGAATTCGTGCATTCATCCAGAAGAATGTGTACATACAGGGTCCATTTGTGTGTGTGTGTGTGTGTGTATTTGCTTGCTGTGTCAGCAACTCTGCTGTGCAGCTTAGCCCACATTCGATAGTCAGCATGCGCACACACTCACAGTGGACTTGTCACCACAGCAACTATAACGATGTCACTGTGAAGGCTTTGGCTGCAGCTGATGAGAGGAAGAAAATGACATCAGTATTGATGACCTTTAATCTTTAGTGCTGACCTAAACTTCTTTCCATCTCCGATTTTACTTGAAGAGTAGGAGAAGGTCAATTGATTTTAATGCAAATTCTAGTAGTTACCAGTGTACATCACCAATGTCCATCACTGTACCAGATTTAGTCATTACAATGCAGTTGCAGTACTTGGGTTAAAAAGTATCTTTAGCTATCTGCACAGTGCCACGTTCTTTTTCCCAGTGTGAACTTCAGCATTTTGTCCTTTCTTTTTCTACTGACACTTGATTCCACAGTAGAATTACAGTAACAGGCAATGTGAAGCTTTCGTTTTTAACCATGCAGTCAAATTTGTGTCATTTAAACACTAAAAGAAAGAGTTAGTTTTGTATGACAGTATGTTTATGTGGGACTGTAGCCTCAGGTTTACGCTGTTAGCTGGTAATTATGAGACAGTGCATTTCAGCACTTCTCATGGAGTAACATGAAAATAATCTAACAAGCAGTGTAACGAAATTGCTCTCTTCAAGGAATAATTAAGTAACAAATAATTTGTAATACGTTACTGTGTTCACGGCGTCTGAGGAGTAAATGTTTAGGATCTCTCCAACAGTAATGGGTGGTGCTTATTCTCTTCTCACATTAAAAGGAGCTTATAAACCAGAGTGTCACTATAGCTTAGTTTTTTGAACAGGCAACCCATATGCTGAAGGCTGCAGGGGCCTTGTTTCAAAAATGACCCAATCTATTTCCTCCATGTTAATCCCCATTAGTCTCTCTCTACTTTTCCGTCTATGCTTTACTGTCCCTGTCCAATAAAGGATAAAAATGATTGTTCTGAAAAATGCTTTATGGAGACAGGAGGGGGTCTTCTTCTCTTATACTTTCTGGGTCACTAGACACACCGGGGACATATAATTACGATTCAAAAGAATGAAAAAGTGGATTTCGCATAATTTGCCCCCTTTAAATTATGCATATAACGAGGAAAGCATTTGGTGCAGTGACACCAGAATAACTACAAAGAATGGAAGAGGAGGATGAAGAGGAGTTTTTTTGCATGCTGAAGTGGTTTTTGGATGCCTGTGTTGCTATGGAGATATGTTTTCTTATATCTAGTGTGGTAACACACACACACACACTTGTCAGATTCAGCCCCACACTGACTTTTATCTACACTCTTATTAGGTGTGAGGTATGTGTTGAGGTGACGGTATGTACACCATGATAACGCTGCTAGAATATAACATTTGTGTGGGGTGGTGGAAGTCAGGTAAAAATAATCTCCCTGCTTTCAAGTATGATTGGGTCATCATAGTTTTAGTGTATAATAGCATGTGTGGCAATCAAGTTTTCTGAAAATTAAATGAAGAAATCTTTTATAGAATAAAAACCTGTTCTGCAGTCAATTTCACGCCTGACACATCAAGGTGCTTTATCACATTAATGCAGAAATCCTATAAACCCAATATTGCCAAAAAGCAGTACTGCTTATTGATGTTTCAGCACTGCCCACAATGACCTAATGTAAGCAGAGATATTAACAGGATTAATCACCTTATCACCTGACTCCTTGATATCAGTCTGACCAACATTTGTTGTGTTTTTAGTTTATTAACACTAGTTTTTTTTAATCATTTGTATTGTAACTTCATTTAGTTTATTTTGTCAAATGTGTTTTACTGTACAGGTTCTATATCTTTCTTTAGAAAGAAGGTATAGATGTCTACATAATGTCTTTTAGTCCACATGCAGAATTTTATTCATATTTCTGTTTTTCCAATATACGATAATTTGTTTAGGGTGAGAAATGACAATCACATCCTACCCAAGTCCGTCTTTCTGTAAGGGTCATTATTTTATATAACTGGAATTTAACTGAGACACTATTATTTGGTACTAATAGAAGTAATTTTTTTCTACAAGCACGCAAACACTTTATCAATATATGCAAAATAAAGCATGCATCGGTGTCCTTGCGCTGTTTTTGTCTTGGTAAAGTTTCATTAATTACCTCTAATGTTTAAATTCCCTATCCTTGTGACACATAGATCGAGAATGTGTCATTCTTTAAACATTAACAGCATCATTTCTTCTTTTGTTTCTCTGCAGAATGGCTTCACTCCGCTGTATATGGCAGCGCAGGAGAATCACTTGGATGTGGTGCAGTTCTTATTGGACAATGGCTCCAGCCAGAGCATCGCCACTGAGGTAAAGGCAGTCTCTCATACACATACACAAAAAAAAAAGACACAACCTAACATGTGTTTGCACATGCTCACAAACCCATAACATCTTCTAACAGCTACCAACCCCCTCTGTAATTACACTGCAACATTATCACCATCGGTTTCTTTGTTTCAAATGTTAGATTAGTGCCTGCACCCGCTAGCTCATTTAGTAGACGACCGGTGTAACATATGAGGTCACTGTTTATTAGGGTTAGAAAAAATAATTATTTTTCAGAGATTAATCTGTTGCCTAGAGGGAGTAAAGAGGCAGAGTGATTAGAGTGAAGGAGGTAGAGATGGGAGCAGCAGCAGCAGCATGTGTTCGTTCAGAGTGACCTTGACTGTCTTCAGCTGCCAGCAGAGGGAGGAACCGGTGACGTTAACAGGAGAAAAAGCATGAGTGGCGAGACCAAATGCTACGCTGTGAGTGTGACACAGCGATCCATCATCTGCAGTAGTAAAGCAGACGGCCGACTGCCACTGCTGCAAGACTAAAGTGTGACGATCGTTTTTCATTTTAGTCACATCTTTCTGATGCATAATCATTCTAACTGACACATGAAAAAACTTTAGAATTTCTTCCAAACAAGTTAATTGTCCTTTCATACAAAATGTAGGGTTAGGCTAAGGTTAGCACCAATGACGATGTAGACCTCAGAGCTTTAACAAGAAGAACTCATTCTGAGTATGAATCATTTAAATACAAGCATCTGTACATTTTAAATTTTGGCTATGTTGTTGGGAATCTTAAAGTCTAGATCACACGTGGGCAAAGGAGGGCCAGGAGGTCCCTGAAGTATCTCGATCCAGTCCACCACATGTTCAAAGGAGAATAAAATGAGCATCTAGCGATATATACATATACAGATGCAGTTATAAATTGTAAACTGAAGCAGCGTGCAGAACACATAAAGGTTATACTGTCACGATGTTATTCTATACGTGCTGTCCATTTAGTTTTTGGCGTCTGTACCTTAAATGTTGCATTCAGCCCTAACAGGTCATTTAATTTCTGCTAGTGATGCAGAAACATCTCATAAATATAGTTCTTTTTTCAGCTTTTATTCTGTATAAAACAGCTGTTATTTGAGCAAACATTATTTAAAAAGTTTTTAGATAGGGATTAATACACACGTTGTGCTCTAGTGAAAAATAATGACAGGATAGGAAACAATGAAGCTCCAAAGTGCACAAAGATAAAAAATACCAGGTATCAGATACCCGCACAATGTTGTAAGTGGGATCAATCAGACTCATCCTTTTAAAATATACTTTAAAGCTTTAGTTTGAAGGTAATTAGAGAGGTGCCTTTTATGTTCTGCTGATGTGTTCTGCAAATGCACATTTGATGCTGCTTTTATCTCCAGTGTTTCCTCGGAGGGCGCTCTCTGCACCGGGGCTGTTATTGACCGTGGCTGCTGGGTCTCTGGGGTCCTCTCAGCCTGGTTGGGGGGCTCCTTTGCCTCCCTCCGGCTGTGTGCCCAGCCCGGAGGCTGCGGTCTGTGACCGGCTCCCGGTGCAGACGGCTCTCTGTTATAATGTTTCCTCACTTGGCTCATGCGAGCCCAGCCCAATTTTTACTCTTTAAGTGTGCGCGTGTGTGTATCTGTGTGTGGGTGGGGGTCGGGGGATATATGTGTATTGAGAGTGTGGGGAGTGAGTTGGAGGGTGGGGTGGGCTGCTTTTAACTATGTAAAGCACTTTGTGCTACATTTTTTCTGTATGAAAAGTGCTTTATAAATAAAGATTGATTGATTGATTGATTGATTGATCTTATTAGTATTAGTATTAGTATTAGTGTGGTGTTTACAGAACTGTGTCTGAGACATTTCACTCAGGCCTTCGTGGCACCTCATTTTTCCTCCTCGTCTTTCTTCCTTTTCTCTCCTCCTTTTTTCTTTTTCATGCCCTCCATCATTCTTTTGTCTGCCTCCGACTCCTCCTGCTCGCCCTCTTATTCCACCACATCTCACTCTTCCCCTCTTTTCACCCTTTTTGTGACTACTCCAGTGGGGTGAGACCAATGTGAATTATTCATGTGAGGAAATATATCTATGAAGCAACTCCTGCTGTTTAATAATTCATGTTTAAGCATTTAATTAGAGAACAAAGCTTTTATAAGAAATATTTGTCTATATTTGAGCATATTAGAATCATCTTTTTTGCCATCACTTTATAAGGGGCTTTACAAAATCTCTTTATTTTTAGTGTGCAACTTTGCTGATACCCCATCAGAATAACTTGATTTTTTTAATAACTCGCTTTGTATTGTTCAAAAACTGGCTTGTGCTATTTTGGTAAGAAGGAAATTGTGCTCTGTCACTTTCCATTTTTAAGCTTTTAAAGGAAGATCAAAACCCTGTCTTTGCCTTTTTGTTTGCAGCTGCTGATGCTGTTGTTTGAGTCCCAAAGTATTTTTAGGACATTAAACTAGTTTTTTTTTTTCTCTTTTCCTGATTCCTAAATCAGATGAAACGGGAGCTAGTGCTTAGGGATGGATTGTGACCTTTAAAATTCTTACAAAGCCTAAATTTATGCATTTGAATGTGTTTGTGTGCCCAGGGGTATGCGCATGTGTGGGTGTGTTTTGCAAACATGTTTTTGGATCACATTATGAATGTATGTCAGCCTGTTTATGCACGTGCCTCTGTGTGTGTGTGCGCGTGTCTGTGCAGGCGAGGGTGTGTTTGTTTCTCGCCCTCACTGATTATTTGTGTGAGCGGCGTTGGATCTCTGAGGGAGGAGTTTCGGCTTTAATGTGTGGGTGTCTAGTGATGCAGAGTTGGTTTTATCTAGACAGTTGGTGTCCTGTATAAACATACAAGTGTGCACACAGACACACATAAACACACAAAGACACACATACGTGCAGAGTATATTGTTTTCCTTGCAAGGAATCTTTCCTTTGATGAGTCATAGACGCTCTCCTAGTAGCATCTTACGTTTATCTTATTGCCTGCGTGAGTCAGTGTCTACATATAGTGTGTGTGTGTGTGTGTGTGTGTTTGTGTTTGTAGGCAGTATGCAATCTCATCTTGTCTGCATCCTAGTATGTGTCCATTCGCAGCTTAATTTCCTTTCCGTTTGTTCTTAAGTGAGACACTGACCTTACTAAAGCACTTACAGTATCTAAAACTAAAATGCCTAAATTGCTGAATGGTTATGTGTAGGGCTGTGCGATATGACCAAAATCTCATATCCCGATATAAGAATTCTATCGTCCCGATAACGATATAAATCACAAAAATGTAACATTTTCTGTAAATTCTGTGAATCTCGGGCAGCTCGACTTGCAGGAAGTGTTTCCAGCTGCGCGTCCTTTACCCGGAGTCGAGTGTTTTAACCGATGCATGAAACGATACATTTTTAGACATAAGTTGTAACGGCCGCCGTTTTCTTTGTATTTATTACACGACGTGCTGCGGGGAAAAGCCTGTTCTAACGTTTGAGTCTAAGGTCTATTTTTTTAGCACCTGGCGGCTCTTTTTTACTTCTCATCCGTAAATAATCTGCTCTTTCACGTTATTCAGTTTATTTTGAAGAGTCTCAACAGGATCGTGAGCTTTATTGTGAAAGGTTTATGTGGAACATAAACAAGCAGACACGCGATGGTGTTACCGTCGTTGTTGCTAACCAAAACGCATAAAAACAGGCACTTGTCCATCCCTAATGTGGTTATATTAAATATAAGAGAAAGTGAGAACTTTACGAAATTAATATAGCCACTACAGTGACCATCAAAACAATGAAAAATATTGCCGTAAACGGTTTATTTTGCGACACCACGAAACCAACGATAGCGTAAAATGAAACGATAGATGTTTTTATATCGTCATCCGATATATATCGTTATATCGAACAGCCCTAGTTATGTTATTGCCCTTTACTTGTTCAGCGCCTGTATGTAAATTTGATCATAGGGACTTAAATATTGTTGAATTATAAAGGTGACTGCCAGTGTCTCAGTGACAACTAGTGTCTTGAGTTTAACCATAAAGCAGCCAAGCTATTTTACAGTAACAGTTTTATGATAACCTCATATTTTATACATAACTTAACCCTGGAGAACCCATGGGGTCAGAGCTGACCCTATTGGTTTACTAGGGAAACCATGGGGTCAAATTTGACCGCATGGGTTCTCCAGGGTTAATCTACCGTAAGACGTAATAATTATCCACGACACACAAGAATCGCTGTTCCTAGAAGATTGCTCAGAATTTAGTGAAACTTGCGCACAGTGGTCATATAAGGGGTTCAAATTCACTCAGAATCACATTTTCTTCTACATTAAAGTTCAGTTTAATTCAATTCACTTTTATCTATATAGCACCAAATCACAACAACAGCCACCTGAAGACGCTTAATATTGTAAGGTAAAAGCCCTACAATAATACAGAGAAACCACAACAGTCAGACGATCCCCTGTGACAAAGCACTTTAGCAACAGTGGGAAGGAAAAACTCCCTTTTAAGAGGAAGAAACCTCTAGCAGAACCAGGCTCAGGGAGGGGCAGCCATCTGTGGCAGATGATTGTCATTGACATTCTGGTTTAAAATAGTTGTGTTTATGTTTGTCAGACAAACATGTTTATGCGAGAAAAGAGTTAACCTGAAAGATCTCCTTCACATGAACTGTTTTTATTGTCAGTTTGGGTGTTAACCATCTGCCTTTAAGGCTTGCTAGCTACGCAGCATTCTGTTAGCCACTGTTCACTGCAACTCTGACTCTAACATGCATAACATGCATCTTTCTCAGCCCTACTACAGTTAGTATCTTTCCTAATTTAGCTCTCAACAAGTTCCTAAGGAGTTCTGTTTTCTATGACAATGTCAGGCATTTTACTCATGGGGGCACCAACACAAAAACACCACCCACAGAAGATTATAGTTTTCGGTTTTTAATCATGCCAGCTGCCGACTGAATGGATGAATAGTTTGATAGCTGCCGAAATGTTTTAAATATAGAGCGCAATCTGTGAGTGCCAACTTAAGAATCTGTCATTTTATGCTTCTTCCGTGTTGGACGTCAGTAGACAGGCATCAGATTTAATGTGTGTAATCTGAAATTATGAACTTGAAGTGAAAATGTGTAATTGAATTGACTCTGAGAGTATTAGTCACATTCACAGCAGCAAGAAAATAAAAGTTCAGGCTCTGAGAGAACAAAGGCGACTTGATTAAGTCTCTCATTGTCTTATAAAAGCGACGTGCCTGAATCACGAACAGCTGTCACTTTACCAGCTAGAAGCAGCTACAAACGTATCATATGCCATCTCTGAAAGTGTGACTGTCAGCTGACATCAAGAAGAAAAGAGTGTCTGTGATTATTAAGATGACATTTTAGGATTCTTAGCTCTGATTAAGGTTGTGTTGAAACCTCCAAAAGGAGATACAGTGGGGCAAAAAAGTATTTAGTCAGCCACTGATTGTGCAAGTTCCCCCACTTAAAATGATGACAGAGGTCAGTAATTTGTACCAGAGGTACACTTCAACTGTGAGAGACAGAATGTGAAAAAAAAATCCATGAATTCACATGGTAGGATTTGTAAAGAATTTATTCGTAAATCAGGGTGGAAAATAAGTATTTGGTCACCTCAAACAAGGAAAATCTCTGGCTCTCACAGACCTGTAACGTCTTCTGTAAGAAGCTTTTCTGTCCCCCACTCGTTACCTGTATGAATGGCACCTGTTTGAACTCATCATCTGTATAAAAGACACCTGTCCACAGCCTCAAACAGTCAGACTCCAAACTCCGCCATGGCCAAGACCAAAGAGCTTTCGAAGGACACCAGGAAAAGTATTGTAGACCTGCACCAGACTGGGAAGAGTGAATCTACAATAGGCAAGCAGCTTGGTGTGAAAAAATCAACTGTGGGAGCAATCATCAGAAAATGGAAGACATACAAGACCACTGATAATCTCCCTCGATCTGGGGCTCCACGCAAGATCTCATCCCGTGGGGTCAAAATGATCATGAGAACGGTGAGCAAAGATCCCAGAACCACATGGGGGGACCTGGTGAATGACCTGCAGAGAGCTGGGACCAAAGTAACAAAGGTCACCATCAGTAACACACTACAACGGCAGGGAATCAAATCCCGCAGTGCCAGACGTGTTCCGCTGCTGAAGCCAGTGCATGTCCAGGCCCGTCTGAAGTTTGCCAGAGAGCACATGGATGATACAGCAGAGGATTGGGAGAATGTCATGTGGTCAGATGAAACCAAAGTAGAACTTTTTGGTATAAACTCAACTCGTCGTGTTTGGAGGAAGAAGAATACTGAGTTGCATCCCAAGAACACCATACCTACTGTGAAGCATGGGGGTGGAAACATCATGCTATGGGGCTGTTTTTCTGCCAAGGGGACAGGACGACTGATCCGTGTTAAGGACAGAATGAATGGGGCCATGTATCGTGAGATTTTGAGCCAAAACCTCCTTCCATCAGTGAGAACTTTGAAGATGAAACGAGGCTGGGTCTTCCAACATGACAATGATCCAAAACACACCGCCCGGGCAACAAAGGAGTGGCTCCGTAAGAAGCATTTGAAAGTCCTGGAGTGGCCTAGCCAGTCTCCAGACCTCAACCCCATAGAAAATCTGTGGCGGGAGTTGAAAGTCCGTGTTGCTCGGCGACAGCCCCAAAACATCACTGCTCTCGAGAAGATCTGCATGGAGGAATGGGCCAAAATACCAGCTACTGTGTGTGCAAACCTGGTAAAGACCTATAGTAAACGTTTGACCTCTGTTATTGCCAACAAAGGTTATGTTACAAAGTATTGAGTTGTATTTTTGTTATTGACCAAATACTTATTTTCCACCCTGATTTACGAATAAATTCTTTACAAATCCTACCATGTGGATTCATGGATTTTTTTTTCACATTCTGTCTCTCACAGTTGAAGTGTACCTCTGGTGCAAATTACTGACCTCTGTCATCATTTTAAGTGGGGGAACTTGCACAATCGGTGGCTGACTAAATACTTTTTTGCCCCACTGTACAAGCACACGCCTCTTCTTGCCCCATACTTACAGATGGCGTCCAAACTGCAGTGCTTCGGATGAGAAAAGAATACTAACGTGACTCTGGAGGCACACTGGCCCTGTGTCCCTCTCATCTGCTTTATAAGCCGACAGCCCTTCTGATTTATATCATGCAATTTTACAGAGGATGGCCAGGCTGTAAGGACAGCAGGCAGACACCTCAAGGGAGTTTGATTCGATTTTTTTGGCTGATGATTTAAAGCACCAGCAGCCAAAAGAAGTCATGTATAAAACATGTTTAATTCCCACTGCAGGACTTTAAATCACATCAGGTGGAAAATGTGACCTGGTGTGCTTAACTACTTTATATCTTTATATGTAGGTTTACCCACCACTTTTTTCCAGACTTAAATATATTATTATATATAAGGCTGATATTTTTGCTGATTTTCATGGACTTTACAACTTTTAATAGAAAGAAAATGAAAGTAGAAGCAGCTGGTGGTCAACACATTTTTGCTTTACATGCAAAATATTCCCAGTTTGATTCCGGGTGGAGACACAAATCCAGTGTCAGGGGTTTCACAAGTCAGTTTAATCCTAGTGACGGTCCCAAGCTCAGATAAAGGGGAGGATTCCTTCAGGAAAGGTATTTAGTAAAAAAAAAATCTGTGCCGAATCAAATATGCAGAGCCGTCTGCTGTGGTGATCTATTGGGAAATAAGAGAGCAGTTAAAATGACTTCGTAGTAGTGTAAGCAGCAGTTCCTGAACTCAGATGAGTTTCTTGAAAGTTCTTCTAAAGATAGTCATGTTTAAGACATTTGCTCTTTTCTACCAATTTTACCATTGTTATTATTTTATTATTATTATGATGCTTCCGATTTGGCCCAAATACCTGAAAAACTATTGACATTCACCTTCAGGCTTAGTTATAATTTCTAGTGCCATAGCAAGTGTTAGCTTGCTAAGCTAAGAGGTTTTACGTAATAAAATATGTGCATTACATTAGCATGTATTCACTGCCATTATACCGTATGTTTGCATGCTGTTGTTAAAGAGTGTCATACTTTGGGAAAACACATTTATATCTTACAGTTGACTTTTTCTGGTTTGCAGGATGGTTTCACTCCGCTGGCGGTTGCACTGCAGCAAGGCCATGACCAGGTAGTTTCCCTTTTGCTGGAAAATGACACCAAGGGGAAGGTCCGCCTCCCAGCGTTGCACATCGCTGCACGTAAAGATGACACCAAGGCTGCCGCCCTCCTCCTCCAGAACGACCACAATGCTGATGTGGAGTCTAAGGTATGAGCTATGAGCTGGACTACACTTCTCACAATGACCTGCTGTTTTGTCGTGTCTGAGATCTGGTCTTACTCATTCATAGTCCCATGACACCTTTCATGTATTATGGGTGCGATTCCTGTTACGTCTTTCTTTACGAAGGTACCTGCCAGAGTTAGCGGTGGTTAGATAACTGCTGACCGTAGCATACAAACATCAAGGTGGGCTACATCTTCTCACTTTACTTCAGTCATGAGAGGGAATAAGGATATTTCCAAACTATTACACCTATTTCTTTTTTTCCAACCATGTCTAAAGACTTTATTTCTGTTGGTGATGTAGAAAACAGAACTATTTGTCTTTTAAAAATCCCATTTTCTGTTTCCTTTACTTTCGGTCTGAGATTTAGTGACTGAAGTCTCACAAAACAATAAACTGTCCATATATCAAACTACATTTAATATAATGTACATAATTCAATTATTTCTGTATATTAATGACAAAAACTCCAATCTCAAAACCAGTGATAGAACTGAAATGTAATGTAATGGGATAAACCCCCAAAACATCAAAAATATTTACAAGTAACATAGGTTAAAATGTCATTTGTACTTTATTTGCATGGAACCGACCGTCAATCACATATTACATATCATAGGATAGGGCAGAAAAGAGATTGTCTTTCCTAAAGACTAAGATGCTTTTAAAAATCTGTATGAAAACTAAGAATAGTCTACTAACAACACAATCGTTCAAGACTTCCATTAATATGGAATACATTTTGAATTATGTGATTCTCTGGATTAATTAAGGGTACACCTTAAGCTGTGGCCTTGACTACCCTCCCCCCAATACACCTGTATACTTGTGGTGTGTGTGTATAATCCCCACAGGGTATCATTGGGCTATGAATATTTATAAGTTCCTTCTGTTGTTCTGTGTTGATAGTTCTATTAGTCATTTAAGTCCCAGACAAGTTTTCTGTGGGACAAAAATTGAGCAAGTGTTCATATTTTGGATTTTTAGAGGCACTCAGGGCAAGAAACAATATCATCAAAAACAACATTACAGCTACATTTACCCCAAGGACCATTCTCATTGTAGAATAAATACACACTGTAAGGGAGAGTTGCAGTCCATTCCCCAGTTTTGTGTACTTCTATGTGACTGCTTTTTGGTTCTTTTCGTTGTTTACAGCCACATTGTCACATACCCATCCTACAGCTTGATGCAACCATGATGTCGGTGTTGCAGTTGTTCTTGTTGTGGTGCACTAACCACCTCATTCTCTCCTCCTCCTTTTGTTCCTCCCTCTACTTGTTCCTTTTTCTTACAAATCCCCCCTTTTCCCTTCTAGATGATGGTGAATAGAACAACAGAGGTACATCTTCTCTTCTCTTCTCTTCTCTTCTCTTCTCTTCTCTTCTCTTCTCTTCTCTTCTCTTCTCTTCTCTTCATTGTTCACTCATGGTCACCATTGCAAAGCCTTCTGTCTGCTAGCATGAGCACTAGCACTAAATGCTGGCATGAAAGCTTTTGCTGCTGAACCCATGTGCCCATTTTTTTAAGCCTGCATGGCATTTTGACTTTTTTATTTCTGTGTACACAGTTGCTCGCTGCTATAGTTTATAGCATTGTAAATTCAGCAGCGCAGTGCCTCTGGAGGATTCACAGCGTTTCACTTGCTCCTCATTTTGTTATGTTACAGCCTTATTCCAAAATGAATTAAATCCATTATTCACCTCAAAAATCTTCATGCAATAGCCCATAATGACAAAATGGAAAAAAAAACCTTCCTTGAAAATCGTAAAAAATTTATTAAAAGTAAAAAGCTGTCTATGTAACATCCCATAGTTGACAGTGCATGTCTGAGCGCAAACCAGGCCATAAATTCCAAGAAATTGCCTCCGAGACAGGATTGTATTGTGACACAGTTCTTGAGAAGGGTACAGAAAAACTTCTGCAGCATTGCAATTACAGTCCAAAGTCTTTTTCAGTATGATGCTGCTGTACAATCTTGGCTGTTTTGGGGCAATTTCTCTCATCCTTCTCTGCAGAACCTCCCAAGCCCCATCAGGTTTGATGGGGGGCGTCGATGTATAGCTGTTTTCAGATCTCTCCAGAGACGTTAGTGTGGTTTCAAGTCTGAGCTCTGGCTTGGCCACTCACAGACATTCACAGAGTGCTCACAAAGGCACTACTTTGTGTTCTTGGCTGTGTGCTTGCAGCCGTTGTACTGTTGAAAAATGAATCGTCAAGGATGTCCCTGTACATTTCTGCATTCATCTTTCCAGTTGACCCTGACTAGCCTCACAGTTACTGCTGCTGAAAACATTCCCATAGCATGATGCTGCCACCACCATGTTTCACTGTAGGAATGGTATTGGCCAGGTGATGAGTGGTGCCTGGTTTCTTCCAGACATGATGCTTGGCATGCAGATCAAAGAGTTTGTGGTTTCACCAGACCAGAGAATTTTCATTTCTCATGGTCTAAGAGTCTTTCAGATGCCTTTTGGCAAACTCCAGTCCTGTGCCTTTTACTGTGGCGTGCCTTCCATCTGGCAACTCTACCATACGGGCTTGATTAGTGGAGTGCTTCAGAAACCTTTTTCATTAACGGATGTTGGAGGCCACTGTGCTCATTAGAATCTTTAATGCTGCAGACTTTTTCTGTACCCTTCTGCAGATCTGTACCACAGTACAATCCTATGTCGTCGGCCTACAGACAGTTTCTTGGACTTTATAGCTTGGTTTGTGCTCTGACATGCACTGTTAACTATGCAACCTTATATAGGCAGTTTTTAACTTTTAATAAATTTGCAACAATTTGAAACAAGCCTTTTTCACTTTGTCATTATGGGGTATTTTGTAGAATTTTGAGGGGAAAATGAACATATTCATATTCCATTTTGGAATAAGGCTGTAATGTGACAAAATGTGGAACCAGTGAAGTGCTGCATATACTTTCCAGATGCACTGCATAATGTATTTCTACACTAGGGTAATACCATTAGTATATCATCACAGTCATATTACACATAGCACTTTGCAGAAAAATAATACCTACTTGATTTTAACTTAATGTAAATAAATGTATTTTATTTTTGTTTCATGGTTTATATAAGTGCAGTCCAAGATACATTCAACGTCTTTCAGTTCCAGTACAATACCAGTGTATAGCCTCCTGGTGTCCAAAGTTCCAGCTTTTTGAGTCCGAACCAGCCAATATCTGATATAAATATCTATAAGTTTATAGTCCCTGCATCTAAAATGATATCTGGTTTTAGATTACTGTGTAAAATGTTCTTGGGAACATCTACACCATGTGTCCAAATTGTTATTACATAAATTTAACCTATATTTGTAAAAGTGTAATGCAAAATGCCTCAAATTTTTTGCCCAGTCTCACAAGGTTAAAGAATCCTCAAAAAATTCCTAGATGAAAAATTCCAGATGTGGATTCAAAAGTAAAATTTTTCGAAGTTGTGCCAAGGTATGGTGGCTTTGAAAGGTCAAACGCACTTCAACCGAAGGAAACAGTAGAGACTAGAAATAGGCTCCAAAAGTGCACAAATCACAACAGGAGTTGAATAAAACACAATGAAAGTTGAATTATTATAACAGGAAAAAACTAAAACCTTAAAACAATCCTGAAGAGTTTTTGAGGAGACACTAATGTGACAGAACAGCTTCATAACAAACTAACAGTAAATAGAATAGGGAACGTGCATTATATGAATTATGCAATTAAAGTACACATTAGCTAGCATCTTTTTCGTCCTCACAACACAGATGAATCCTCCACTTCTTTTAAGCGTCTCCCGGTGCAATCCTTATTGTGTTTCGGTTTCCTTTATTTCAGGAGCTGTTCTGTCACGTTAATGTCTCCCCCAAAAATATTTCTGTTGTGTTTTTTCTGTATTTTTCCTACTTCTATTCTGTTTTTATTCAACTTCCATTGTGTTTTGTGTTGTTTTACTGCAAATCTGCCCAAAACTTTTGGAGTAATGCTGAAAACAAAGAGACAAACCAAACCATTACTAAAATGTCTTTGGTGGAGTTAATTGAGCTTCTATCAGTGAAATCCAGCAGGGTACCAACACAGGATTAGGGGGGGGAAAAGAGCTCAGCAGAGGCATCAAGGTGTAAGATTTGAGTTTGCATAACTTAAAAAAAGAACTTTATCTTTACCATAAATCCAGAGTTTATGGGACGCATGAAATCATCGTGGTCATCAGGAAGATAAACTGCTACAGCACAGCCTAATTTTTATTCAAATTAAATAAAATCAACAAAGAAAATTCTTTTGTTGATGTGATTTTTCTCATGCAAAAAGTAGCAGTAGGCAGTTCATGTGAATACTGCTGTGTTCGCATAGTCTTCATCTTGACTTCATTACTGGGTACATTCTCATTTATTCTAAAATATGATGTTTAGAATTACAATGTAAAGTTTTAAATGTAACTACAATTTATGTAATATTTTTATTAATTTTCTTGTCAAGAGTAAGATATTTTGCAATAACTGGGGAGCTAATGACAAGCTTCAGTTGACTTCAGCTTATCATACTGTAGCATATCATACTGGATTACAGATGGGGAAAATAGCTAGTTTGAGTGGTTTTGTTCATACAAAGAATTGTGATTTTACAGAAGTGAATGCCCTGAACCCTTACATGCTTGTAACATGTAACTGTATCCAGCAGTAATGGGCATTGGTTTATCAGACCATTGCACCCAGCTGACATGTGAAATGACGTGTTGGAAACCACATCAGTTAGCAAAGCAAAAACTCAAAAAGAACTTTGAAATAAAAAAAAAGCATTAGCTAGTCTTGTTGTCTTTTTAGAGTTGTATTTGTGTGTGTTGTGTAATATCCTTGTGTTGTTGACATGTCTTTCTCCCTTCACAGTAGCATCTCTCTGTACTGTGATCCCACTTGAGTTACAATATTTTTATTTGTTATTTGATATAGAAACATAAATTTTTTGGCATGCACTGCTTGTTGCTGCAAAAAATAATTTGGGGGGAAAAAAAGCTAAGAATGAACAGTTGGAAATGATCAAACTAAATGAATGATTTCTTTGTTTTTTTTAAGCCGTTCATGTTCAGTGAGCCGGTAACTTAAAAGTCTTCAAGAAATGGCAATAGTTTAGGCTTTTCAGTCACTGTTTCTTAAAAGCAGTCTTACAAACTCAACTAAAATAGATGCATGCTCACCTGCATGCTGCTTCCTGTCAGATAAAAGCATATAGCAAGGAGGTTTTTTTTTAGGAATGAAAGCAAAAGCTTAATGAGACACTAAGTATTTGCATTTGTTTTTTAATCTGCATGCTTGTTTTATTTGGTAGGTTCTTATTTTTGTTTGTATTGTGTCAGACATTGTTAAATGCTGTATACTTACCACAATAATTTCGCAAAAAAGTTGAAATATGCAGTCAGTGGCCACTTTATTAGGTACATCTGCAAACCTTAATATAAACATACATGTTAGCATTCTCTTTTGATCGACATTGTCAGTCAGGTGGAAACAGAGATGTTACTGAGGTGGCAATTTGCATTGGACAAATTTATATTTGAATTTCAATCTGTCCAATAGAAAACCAGCATTAAGCAAACAGTTAAATTAATGCCAATTGCCCGTCATAAGAATAATTGGTAGTGCTGTTGGACTTTATCAGCTTGCCTAATAAAGTGGCTAGGGAGTTTGTGTTTCTTATGAAAGTCCACTCCTTTTATGCTGAAATTTTCAAAGCATGTCTGACTCCTGCTCAGCTCTGGTCTGCTGTGCTCTGTTAGTCTGCTTTTAGCAAGATGCTCTTACATGTAATGTCCAATCATGCTTTGCTTATGGCTCCTTATTAGACAGTTGCTGCTTCTTTTTCCTTCCTCTCTAATTGTTTCTCTTCCTGTGTGTCTTGTTTCTCTCGTCTCTCTCAGAGCGGGTTCACTCCTCTGCATATTGCGGCTCACTACGGCAACATCAACGTAGCAACACTGTTGCTTAACAGAGGGGCAGCTGTGGACTTCAAGGCGAGGGTAGGTCCTTCACTTCAAAGGCGACAAGCGCGCGTGCACACACACACACACACACACACACACACACACACTCACACTCATATCTACATGCAGAGTGCTGCTGCAAACCTTCATACCAAAACTTTTACTTTATGCAGGGAAGGATGTGCAGGAATTTTTGCTTGCCTGTGTATATAATTCCACAGCTGTACTTGTCACTCTCCTGGAGGAAACATGCACATGCAGTCCACGTTCTATCTGATCCCACAGACTGTAGGAATGGATGTAGCAGTTATGTATTTTGATAGCTGGTGGTTTGTGAGTGTGTAAGTGTTAGACCAAATAAGCACGCACCATGTGGAAACAACTCAAAACACACGTCTCATACCATAATTTACTCATGAAAGTGGCCTCTTTTCTAATTTTCTCACCCAATGTGCCATTTATTTGATTTATTCATAAATGTTACAGTTATGCTTCCCTAAATATATGTTAAAAGTGGGCACATTCATGAGCAAATGAATCTATAACAGAATCCACTCAAACATTATCTTCTGCTTATCTGAAGTCGGGTTGCAGTGTCAGCAGGCTAAGCTGGGTTTTTCAGACTTTCCAATTCCTACAGGGAGATCCAAAGGCATTCCTAGACATGATGAGATAAATAATCTCCAGTATGATCTGGGTCTGTCCCAGGGTCTCCTCCAAGTTGGGCATCCCAGAAAACCCAGAAGGGAAGCTCCCAGTCGATTTCTGAATCACCTCAGTTGGCTTCTTTCCACATGAAGGATCAGTGGCTTTACTCTGAGCTCCTCTATGTCTGCAGCTGAGCCCACCCTTTTATATTTGCACCCTTATTTTTTTGCTAATTATGCACATTTCATCACCATAGGTGAGAAGTTGGGCAACACGAGCATTAATCCACATGTGCACCACATGCTCCACCTTCCCATCACTCATGAACAGATTACAAAACATGAATAGAAGTTGTTTCTTTTCCATGTCTATAATGTCAGTCAAGTAACTTCTAATGTTCCAAGTTAGGATTAAAGGTGTTTGTCTTTTGATGTGTTTTGTCCAGATTCAATAAATGCATCACTTTACTCAAAACAGAGAATAGTCATACTGGCCTCTCTGATTCCTTTGTGCCACAAAGAGCTTTATTTTTTTCCCCAAGAACCATTAAAAACACATCATTGAGCCACACCCTCACACTCAACCCTCACTTTCCTTCATTACTGCAAACATGCACAGGCCAGTAATTACATTTAAATTGTGATTTTTCTGCTAACAATATGAAAACAAGATATTGAGCTAAAGCAGTGAATGTGCCGCATTCTGTTTTATCAGGATGTTCTCTCTTCATCGTGTTTTTTGAATGCGGGATGTTCCTTTCCTCTACCGCACTTGCATTTATTGTTTCTGAAACGCCCAAATTCATGCTCTGAATGTCAAATTAGGTTCAGTTCATCTTTATTTTGTTCATCATTTCTATTTAATTATGTTTAAAGTTAAGGAAATCTGCTGAGAGATATTTGTTAGAATCTTCAAATGTTGCATGATGTTTTCAAAGCCAAGGAATCATTTTAATAATCACATTCAAAGCCTGGACCAGGTTTAGTACTTTACATATCATCTCACACACACACACACACACACACACACACACACACACACACACACGATTTTGCCTCTCTCACTACTGAAAATGTAGAACCCTGGCATATTTATTTACTCTTACATGAGTAACATTTGGATGAAACTCCAGTTACTCAACCTTAAAATAAATATTCAGTGGATGATGACTCTGGCAGTAAGGGCCTGTTCAAACACCGGATATAAGAAGGCTGAAATGTGTTGATGCTGAGAAAAGTCTAGATTAAAACTAACATTTCCTTTTAAATAACTGTGAAAACTGTGTTCTTTGGTGGCAAAATATCAAACACATACTGGAAATACACACAATCTCTGGTGAACACATAGAGATATTAGAAGTCTCTGGCATTTTTAGAACAGAACCTCAAAGCTAAGGTCGCTCTGGCTGGAATGATCACTGTCCTCTAGAGGGGGGTATTTAGCCATTTCCCTCTGGCACTGTCAAATAGAGCCAATTTTCCCTAAAAGTGACGTATTAGCAGTGGTACTCCTTCTCTTTTCCTGAAATAAATGTTGATTTTTCTTTTCTCTTCGTCTGAATAGCTAAACAATGCATCTCTGTTTCCTGCAGAACGACATAACACCGCTGCACGTAGCATCCAAACGTGGGAACAGCAACATGGTGCGACTGCTGCTGGAGAGAGGGGCCAAGATAGATGCACGCACCAAGGTACAATCACATGCGCACAATGTTATTTGATGCAGTGTTCAGTTTAGATTTAAATATTGATATTTAAACGTGTATTCATGTATTTAATGCTCATAGACGTTCAATATTTCAATATAATTTAGAAGTGCTTTACATCAAACTAACATAACTCCCGATAAAGTAAACATACAGCCATACGTAGGCTGTTTACACAGGGTGGTATGTGAAATGAATATAATGGAAGGGTAAAAAACATTAATTAAAAATGAGAGGATAAAATCCATAATCACTAGGTGTAGGGTGCTTTACATTTGTCCATCATATAATTTTTTAGCTGAGGGATTTCCAAAAACCCTAAAATTATTATTATCTAATCCCACCCACAGCCATGCGAGGATTAAGCATCACCTGCGGTGTCATGTCAAATCTTGTCTGCTGCTCAACGAGCTTGTTGATGATGGTATGAAGTTCACGGCTGAGCAGCAGGTGTTTGTTTTCACAGGACGGTCTAACTCCTCTTCACTGTGGCGCCAGGAGTGGCCATGAGCAAGTAGTGGAGATGCTGCTGAACAGAGGAGCTCCAATACTGTCAAAGACCAAGGTTTTTAAGAACAAGCCAATAAAATCACATTAGCAAACTGCATCCGTATTAACTTCACATCGCTGAACATCTTTCTCCTCCTTTTCCTTCCAGAACGGTCTGTCTCCTCTTCACATGGCGACGCAAGGCGACCACCTGAACTGTGTTCAGCTGCTGCTGCACCACGACGCGCCCGTGGACGACGTGACAAACGACTACCTGACGGCGCTGCACGTTGCTGCCCACTGTGGGCACTACAAGGTGGCAAAGGTCATCGTGGACAAGAAAGCCAATCCCAACGCCAAGGCGCTGGTGAGGGGATCTCAATTATTTATTGTGATAAAAATAAATAAAAATTGATGAAAAGTACAAAATAATGGAGAGGAATTAAAAGGGCTCATCATCTCAGAGCATCTCGTTGCTTGGGCTAATCAAGAGAAGCAGGAATTCTTTTATGTAAAGTTAAAAATGATAAGACATGTTGTGACTCTTATTGAAATCCTGTTCCTGTATAACAACAGTTTTGCTGAATATTTGAGCGCCTTCTTTTTAGCAATGACAATCTCAATGACAATTGCATTTAATTTGAATGTAGACAAAGCTATTAGCTGCAGATAAAAGCTCCATGATCTCATGCAGTTGTCTGTGGACTCCCACGTTGAAACCTTAAGCTTAAAAATTTGGTGGATATTTGAAGAAGTAGTGAAGTTCTAACTTGCCAGCTACTGCTAGCTAACTTGGTTAGCAATGTGATAACATGTTAATCAAACGTGGCTTCACTTTCTATTGGTGGATTGCATAGCCACAGATACCATCTGATCAGTGCATCTTGCTAATAAATAGCAAATTTGCACTCCCCAAAACTGGAGCACAATATTCTTGGATGAGCTCCAGACTGCACCAGCACTACGAACTCAGCTGAGGTGACAACTAGTAGACAGCCACAGCCGCCTCTTGGCAGGCATCTGTCAACCACATCACAAAATATGAATAAGCGTAAGCCTCAAAACATTTTAAATTCAGTTTGAAAAAAAAATCCCCCCTACAGTGTCACAGAACAAAGCTGTACTGTAAACTTGTAAATGTTTATTTCTGCTCGAAGGTTTTTACATTTTAACATGATAGTCTGTGGGGATTGACATGCTTTTGGAGTGAGCCTCAAGTGGCCATTTGAGGTATTGCAATTTCAACCCCTTAAAGTCTAGTGTATTATATTTACTACATAGTTTTTGAGACTCCTGCATCATCAGTGAAAAAAATTTTCTCCCCAGAAACCCTAAATAAATTCCACAATACATGTTTTAGCAATAAACTAAATCTGATTGCTGCTATAGTAAACATGATACAAATTAAAACTCATATATGCAAATTGATATTGATATCACCAGGTATTGATTGATATTTGATTTTTTTTTTAAATTTGTCAAAAGGTTCAAATGTTCCATTTTCAAAATAATTTAATTTTTGGGCACTTATTTGAAGGTTCAGGTTTAAAGAGTTTTTATTCTAGCGCCAAAGTTTGGTGCTGTAAAAAATGCTGCTAGACCGCTGCATCTGCATAATATGCAGCGACATAGAAAACTGATGAAAATGAAGTATTAGAGCACCTGCTGTGCTGCTCAGGGTTGTGACATTTCAGTCATTTCACTTTACAACTACCCAAAAATGTTTTTTCGTCTATTTAAGTTGTACCTCTCTGCCTTCTCATTTTTTCTTCTTTTATTACATTTTTTTTAATGAACCTTTCCTTTTTCCACTAACAAAAAAGAAAAAAGGCTGAGATGCAACATTTGATGGGGAACACAAAGAAACAAGTAGAATTAAATAGAATTTAGTATCCCAGCCGATATCTTGGCATAAGACGAGCATTGCTGCTCTGCAATGGGAGCAGTCTGGGTGTGGTTAGAGCACTGGGACTTTATAACCAGAGAGAATAAGTAAGACGGGGAAAAGGACATGGAGAGGAAAATGAAGTCATAGGACTGAGCCTGAAACCTCAAAGTCAGGAGAGTAAAGGAGGGGAGGGATGAAGGAGGGTGAGGAGAGAGAGAAAAGTGAGTTGTAAAGGAAAGTATCTATTTCAGTGTAGAGGAGTTTTTGTTTTTTTTGATAGTTTACAGTCCACTCGATTATTTCCACACATGCTTGTCTGGTTTGCAAGCAGAGGGTTTTAAGAGGCAGAGGGAGAGAAAGAGAGGGGATAAAAGAAAAAACAGTCCCCCCTTTGTGCTGTAGTTTCCACTCGGTGTTCCAGATTTGTCTGCAAGTCCTACAAAGCCAAACACAAAGACTGTTTGGACTATTTTTATACTTTTATTTCTTTCTTTTTGTCTTTCATAGAATGGTTTCACTCCCCTGCACATTGCCTGCAAGAAAAACAGACTTAAGGTGATGGAGCTGCTTCTGAAGCATGGAGCGTCTATACAGGCTGTCACAGAGGTAAGTGTGTCTGGAGTGTGTGTGTCATTTAAGCACTAAGACATCAATTATTTTTGTGTAGTTTGTTAATTTAGTTGTTGGAGTGGGAAAATTCTACCTCTACTGCTACTCTACACCTGTAATCCACTACATTTCAGAAGAAATACTGTAATAGTTGGTCTTCTGCTGATTGATAGCAGACTGACTTTCTTAAAAGTTTGCACAATTGCATTTAACTCATTCACTGCCATTGACGTCTATAGCCGTCAATGGCAGTGAATGAGTCAATGGGTTTAACTCATTCACTGCCATTGACGTCTATAGCCGTCAATGGCAGTGAATGAGTCAATGGGTTTAACTCATTCACTGCCAATGGCTGGCAGTGAATGAGTTAATGACCTACAGAAATGTTCTCATGCTTCTTTAGTGTTTCTTTAATTCGTTGACTTTTTTCTTTTCCTCTCTTCTTTGCGTTTCCATCTCTAGTCCGGTCTGACGCCGATCCACGTTGCAGCTTTTATGGGACATGAAAACATCGTCCACCAGCTAATCAACCACGGGGCTTCACCAAACACAAGCAATGTGGTGAGTTCAGGAAGTTCGTCATCATCATTACCGTGTGATAAGACAGGGGGCATGAGAGGATATTCTTTCCTTTTCTTTTCCTTCCATGTGCTGGGTGGGCGGGCGGGGGGAAAGCAAAGTGAAATATATTTGCTTATAATATATTTTTAACCATAATATTTGAACATTTCCTCTTTACTGTATAACAGATGAAAATTTAGATCTTTTTGCTTCATTTCATTTAGTTCTCAGCATCTTCAAAAATTGTACAAACCATATGATTAGCTCATAACTTTATAAAGCTTAAACCAGTGGTTCCCAAACTTGTTTTTGCTAGGCCCCCCTTAGTTTTTACAATAAAATCTTTTATCAAAGCTGATGAGCTCAGAGCTCAGATGGCAAAAACAGAATCAAAATCCATACAGGCACACGGGGAAAGATGCAGATAAGACTATTTATACACCGAGGGGTGACTGGGGATGAGAAACAGGTGAAGACGATCAATACGGTCAAAAACATAAAGCCGCAAAAGTGACACAAGACATGAAAGAAAACCGACATTTAAAATAAAACAGGAAATATCTCTAAACATAGAGACAAGACTATCAGTACACATGGCAGACACAGTAGAAGACTGGACAATGAAGGCATAAACAGAGAAAGATGAGACAGGAAGGAGCAGTTAGCGAAATGGTGAGGGAAGTACGCCAGCAGGAAATGACTAACTCATAACAGACACTTAAACTAAGGAACTCAAAACTAAGACTAGAAAGTTTATAAATTCTAAACAGTAATTAGGGCTCAGAGAGTGCAATAAACCTGAGCCTCAGTATTGCTAGAATGAAAACATATCACAACAGGAATCAAAATTCAGCCTACAAAACGCACAAATCAAACCTTCAAAGACCAGAATAGCTTTAGAAAAACCTAAACATTAACCCAACTCAGATATTTTGACTAAGGATTCAAAACTCAAGAGCAGCACAAAGCCTATGAAACCCTTTAAAAAATCTGAAACAATACCTAAAACAGCTAATTGCACAGAGAGAGAGAAATACAAACATAGGAAGTGACTTAACACTAGCTGTTTATCCACAAAATCTAAACCTTAATTGGTGCAGACGGCAGAGAAATCCTCCGTAGGTGGAGAGGAGGTATTTAATGTAATTTGCTCATACGGAAATGTGCTCTAATTCTCATCTGGTCCATCAACACTCCTCAGTAGGAGCTACAAACTTTACTACTGACCCCATTAACTCTGGGATGACATGAAAGGAGAAAAAGAGGAGAAAAAAGTAAGCTGAGCCAAAGAGAAAGGCAAGAGCGAGGAAGAAAGAAAGAGGGGAACGAGTAGTGCACAGTCAACTCTTCAACCCCGAGTGTTTGGTCGCCCACGTCGTGTCTGTGGCCAGGTTACCGTAGTAACAGAGCATTATGGGACGTCATTATGGTGAGTTGGGTGTGGAGAGCGAGCGAGGGGGTCTATCTGGCTCTTTCTCTTTGTCAGCCACTCCTTCCCAGTGTACGTCTTCACAAAAAGAAGTTTTTTTGTATGAGGGTGTTTTCAAAGAAAGAGTAACATTCAAAACTTTGGAATAACTATCCATCCCTCGTTTTCTGCGTGTGCTTCAGAGGGGGGAGACAGCACTCCACATGGCAGCGAGGGCGGGACAGTCCAATGTGGTCCGGTATCTGATTCAGAATGGAGCACGAGTCGACGCCAAGGCCAAGGTAGAGCATCACTCTCAATCAGTAACGATTATCTGGTGTTTATATGCGCCTGGGCATTAGAGCCACTAAATGTGAGCACAAGTGTGTGTTTGTATGCTTATGTAATGTGTCTTTGCACATGTTTAATTACTGAAAAGTTACAGTCATAGGTCAAAATTATTCAGAAAAACTTTCTGTCAGCTTAATTTATTAAGTAACGCTACCTGGTGTGCATTTCATACATAATAATATCAAGCGAGTCTGGTTTTTTATGTGTTGCAGTTCTTTTATGTAAGCAGCTGCAATACTCAACAAATTAGAAAATAATGTTGCCTTATGCTTCACCTGCACACTCTTCATAAATCATTTTTCTTGTTTGTCCTTTTATGCATATTTTGGATACAAATAGGAGTAAAAATTCTAGTTACACGAGGCTGTTATTCGCAAGGATCTACAATCTACTCAGAGCTACAAAAGAGCAGTCATGATAAACAGAGTTGCTATTATGTGAGTGTGACTTTGACTCAGCAAATGTGTTGCTAAAGTTATCTGGTTATTTACTGGGAAATGTCTTATACAATATATTGAAAGATAATAAGGTTTTGTGAGAATCACAGGCAGTAAGTGCATGTTGAACTGGGTGATTTCCAGCATTGTGGTTCAGTTTACAGTAATGGACTGTGCTGGACTGGTGCAGAAAAGACTGTGGTATATGTGGTCACTGTGAGCTTAAGTCAAAAGGAGAAGTCATCAGTTCCCAAAATCCACCTTTAAACTGGCCAGCAGATGGAAAGCAGCCATATTAGCGCATACCACATCTGCTCATGTAGTAGAATTCAGTTTAGTAAATCCAAAAAGAGCAAAAAAAACCTTCAGCAGAGCCAGCAGCAACAACACAGGTCAGCTGATCAGAGCCTGTACACAAAGAACAACCTCCTGGAGCTCACAGGACAAATAATGTGACTTCTAATAAGTTATTCATGTCCCTGTCCTGCACTGCTATGAAAAGTAATAGGGTTCCCTGTACCTGTAACAATATGATGATGATGAAATAAATTCTTTCCAATAGATCCCAACTGATATATTCCTTGGATAATATTATTAGCCAATATGAGCCTGCTGCAAATATGTAACATGTTGCATGTTATCCAGCATGAGCCAATAATAATGGTTGAGTTTCTAACATAATTTGTTCACTAGAGCAGCTTCAGATGCTTTGTTTGCAGTCTATCACATATTTAGTCGAATATACATTACTCCTAAGGGGATGTGGAGGTGAGCAGTGTGTTGCATTTAAAATGCCCAATAGCTTGTGAAGTACATTGCATTAAATTTAAAAATGATATATTCTAATATATTTGTGCAAATATTTTTTCAATGAAATTCCTGTATCAGTTTGGTTCTATTATCATACGTATGCTATTGTTCAAGACCAATACAATGCAAAAACAGTCCCATATATTACATCAGAGAAATGTCTGTGTCAAATATGCTTCAGTATTTTCAATGGATGGCTTCAGGGGAGAATAAGTGTTACGCGAAGCACAGAAGCTCATTCTGAATTTACTCTGTTTATACGCTGCCATTTAAAATAAATAATGTGAAAATATAAGAGGGGTCACTGAAGAGTCTTCAGCTGTGAATCTGTCTCCTTGTTTGCTTTCTCTTGCTTTATGGCAAGTTCATTGTCTTGCTGTTTAAGTTGCAAATGTGTTTTTCTTTTTCTTTTTTGAATGTCACTGCAAAACAACAAAAATGCAGTTGGCGCGTTTAGCAGATGGAGCCAGAGATTTTCCACAGCAGTTTGGAGATACCAAAAACATTTGTTAAGTGGGCTGCATCTTGTCCAGAAACATGGCTCCAAATGTTGGTCCTTTTTAATAATAAAAGGTGTTTTTTGCTGGATTTTTCTATCAGGATGACCAGACTCCTCTGCACATCTCAAGCCGTCTTGGTAAGCAAGATATTGTGCAGCAGCTCCTGGCGAACGGAGCATACTCAGATGCCACGACCAACTCTGGATACACCCCCCTACACCTAGCCGCCAGGGAGGGGCACAGAGATATAGCTGCAACGCTGCTGGACCATGGAGCTAGTCTGGGCATTACTACTAAGGTAAATATGAAACTTGCACATAAACGAAATTATTATTCAAACCCACAGATGCACACAAACATATTGTGCAGGTAAACTAGTTAATCAGTACTCACACAGACACTGATGGCTTATGTGCTTATACTCATAAACTAGTCCAAAAACTTTAATTCAATCTGCTGAAGACAGAGAGGAGGTTTTATCCTGTTGCAGATCAGCTAGATTTGCATCCTTGCAGCTGGTAACATGATGGTTGTCCTGTCTCATCCTGGAAAAGCTTGAAAAATGTTAATGCATGAATTCTACAGGGATTTTGCAACATTTGGACTGAGTGGAGTTACATGATTGTGGAATACCAGTTATAGTTGACAGTCTGCCAGTGGAAAAGATGTGTCATAATAAGGTTGTGGACAAAGTAAGAGCATAGAGTCTGAAAAGGCTGTTGCTGGAGAAGCCTTTGTCGATTTTTGGCTCAGTTTTCCATGTCAGTTACTCATTTCAAAAGCATCAATTTACGTTTCAGCAGAGCATTTTATGGCCACGTATTTTTAACTCTTTAAAGACAGACCAGGTAATTTTTAGCAATGTCTGGATGAATCAGAAAATTTAGCAACAGGCTTCAGATGTCCGCTTTGTTTTTAAGTTGCTCCACCCATTAGAAAGTCCACTAAATTCACAACAGCTTTAAAGACTGTGATGCAATTGTAAAACCAGAAGTGTAAGACTTTCTTCTTAGGTTATGTGCATAACATGGTTTTCAAATCTTACATTGTTTGGAGCTGCAGTAACTTGTACTCAATGTAAAAGACATATGACGCACACATACGTCCCAAATCCCAGTGAGGTTTAATTTAATCGAGTTGCAGTTAAACTCCCATCTCTACATCCTATTAGCTTCCTCCATCTTTCCATACAAACTTCTACAAGCCCGCTTCTGAATCATGATCATGGTTTTTGAATCTGTTCCCTCAGAGCTAAAGAATCTAAATCAAGTACTAAGTTTCTCCACCCTGTGCTGATTTGTGTTTAAGGACCAAGGGGGCAGTTCTCCATGTTGTCATGACATAATCCTGAAAATTGCTCGCTTACTTTATGATTAAACACATGTGGTTCTGTTGGGCTGCCATGTGTAGAAAATGAGTCATGGGAGAAGAAGTAACTGTATTAAATTAGGTGTAATGTTCCTTTGTGTTTCTGCAGAAGGGCTTCACTCCTTTGCACGTCGCAGCAAAATATGGGAAAATCGAGGTGGCCAACCTGCTGCTGCAGAAGAACGCTCAGCCTGATGCTGCTGGAAAGGTAATGCATGTTTGTGCATCTGAGAGAGACTTATATTGATGTCGCACACATCAGTACCGCCTCAGCTGTCATCGTGGGTGTAGCTTTCACAATACTTTCCACGTCACCTCTGCTCCAGCTGCTCTCCACGACATGTATAAATGACGATAAATCACCGTCTAACAATTGTTGTGTATGTGTGTTCAGAGTGGACTAACTCCACTGCATGTAGCAGCACACTATGATAACCAGAAGGTGGCGCTGCTCTTGCTCAACCAGGGAGCCTCACCGCACGCTGCTGCAAAGGTAAGAGTCAATCAAACTGTCAGTGGAGGTCAAATTGAATGTTCCTACAATGCACTAAAACCCCTCACTTTGGCTCAGGATGAGAGCACACTGACCTAGATTCATTCGGCCAATTACATGCAATTACACTGTGCTCCACATGCTGATTACATTGCCCTTCCACTCTATCATCATATATTTTGGTAGAGCTCCTGCTGAAGTCAACAAGGGTCCAATATTTTCTGGTAGAACACTGAAGGGATGCATTTTTTTAATCCTTTAAGGCAAATATCTTCAGGTTCGGGACATAAATGAAGCTTAAAAATATTGCTCTTCACCACTAGGTAGATATTTAGAACCATATCGCATCTCCAACTTGGCTTCTGCCAACCGTGCTGGCCTGGAGAACCTCTCCACTGGGAATTTTATTGGTTGCAGACAAAAGTTACAAATAAGTTTCTTTACAAATGAAGCAAATCCTAAAACTACCGAATATCCATCACTCATGCCCAGTTTCCTTGCTGCATAAGAACAAGGATCAATACAAGTGGTTCCTCTTTCCTCTGGTATATATACATGCTACTTTCTCTTCAATTTGGAAGAGGGAAATAAATAAGATTCTCAGTCTCCTTTTTTGTCTCCCCCCCCTGTCATCTTTTTTCTTGTACAGTTAGCATTGTAATTATTACAATTACCAGCCAGCATCATGAAGGGTCAAGAGTGCTACATTAATTCTGTGAAACATTGAGCCAGGGTTTTATAAAAGAAAAACGGTAAATTTTCCCGTTCTCTGCTTTCCAGAATGGTTACACTCCACTACATATTGCAGCTAAGAAGAATCAGATGGAGATAACGACCACCTTACTGGAATACAGTGCCTCTACCAACTCTGTAACGCGGCAGGGCATCACTCCCCTGCACCTTGCAGCGCAGGAAGGAAACGTGGACATTGTGACGCTGCTGCTGGCTCGGGATGCTCCTATTCACATGGGCAATAAGGTGTTTTCCCTTTATTAGTGTGTAGATCTCTGGCTGACATGCAATGACAGAAGATTAATGTTTGCAGTGTATTTGTGTCTGTGTACCATCGACACGTATCAAACAGGCAGGGCCTTGATTTTACTTACACAAATAATATTTGTTTATCCAGAACTCTGTTATTTTGATGGTTATTTCTTTTGTCATTTTTCTGTCATTTGTGCTTCATTACCGTGATGTGCAAACCTGTCATTGTGTCTTAAACGGCTTCATTTCAAGCTGTCTCAGTCAAACTACTGTGTTCAGCACTCTTCTGTCATTTGTGTATTTGACTGTATTTCTGTATTTCTTTGTTTCTGTACCTTTAGTCTGGTTTGACTCCACTTCACCTGGCTGCCCAGGAGGATAAAGTCAATGTTGCTGAGGTCTTGTGCAACCAAGGAGCCTTCATAGATCCAGAGACCAAGGTAATGATAGCCTCCTCATGTCTTTGGATTAAAGTTATTAAGGCATTTGCAAAGTGGATTTGCATATCTTGCCACTTCACCGCTGTAAATTAAGTATCATTTGGGGTTTGGGCTTTGGTCTGTGCCAGTGCTCTCACTTTTTGTATTTTTGACAAGGCAGGTTCCCACAAAGGTGACACATTTCTAGTTTTAATAGGATAATTGAATAATTAAACACATGCCTTGTAATTTTTAAAAAGACATGATTTTAAAATGCCATCAAGAAGCGCAAAAAGTCCTGCCAGAACTTATTTAGACATTAACAGCTGCTGAATCATGTCCAGCCTTTGAGTCTTTTACAGAACCCACACAAAAATAAACGATATCGTTCTTTTATAGCTGCCCTTAAAGGCGCATAAGCACTGTGGGATTTCAGCAGTCTTTAAAGTTAATTGCAGTCCATCCTGTCTAATATTGTTGTTTTATAAATATAAGATTGGTAATTGCGGGCTATGCTGATCACAGCTGGAATACCTCTGCTATGTGTTTCCATGTCGTGACCTCCTTGGCCCGGAAATGGCAACAGCTGAAGGACGCATCATACAAACAAAGCTTCTGCTGCTGCAAATTAACTAAATTTCCTTCTTTGTAGGAATTCAGACATTGAATTTTGCCTATTTTTCCTCTCTCGCTTCCATTTGCCTTTATTTTGGAAATATAGCTTTTACTTTGTGAGACAGTCAACTTGAATTTCAGATCTTATGAAACAGTGTTAGAGTGTCAACTTCAAACTGCACGGCAGAACAACTGTTTTGGTTTGCATTGGACATGTTTCACGTGCAGCTGCTTAAATGTTCACAGTTTACACTCAGCTTAATTTTCAGACAAAATAAATGAGCTCTTGTCTCCAAGTGTGGGTGCTGAAGCAGTCTGAACATTAAGTTGTCACAGGGCAAAAATCCTCATAGGCCATACAGAAATCAGTTATCCTCACCAGTTTCTCATGTGGTCTTATTGTTTTATAAAGGGACTTGGGAAGACTGTTAATTCACATAGGCCACAATATATATATATAGCTCATCTGCTGCTACCTCGGCAAGCCTCTTTCCAACCCACCTCTACCCCAAGTTTTCCATCTTATGTCATATGTGGTATTTTTGATTTGAGTGTCGTATCTGTTGTCATTTAAGGGGATCTTGCACCTGCTCTCCCTGCCTTTTGGCTTCAGTGTATGAATACATGCCTTATTGTAGCCACAGTGGTGCTAACAGAAGTTACATTTCTTTTTCATCAGCTTGGATACACTCCACTTCATGTGGCCTGTCACTATGGCAACGTGAAGATGGTTAACTTTCTGCTGAAAAATCAGGCGAAGGTCAACGCCAAGACAAAGGTAACTGTTATTTTCGTGTATATTCACCATACGTCACTGATTTTCTGTCTCTGTGAACATCTTCTAACGCTCTCTCTCATCCCTCCCCCGCAGAACGGCTACACACCTCTCCATCAGGCTGCACAGCAGGGACACACACACATCATCAACTTGCTGTTACACCATGGAGCATCGCCCAATGAACTCACTAATGTCAGTACGCTCAGAAATCTGAAATATTTATTCATTTATTTTTAGTTTCAACACCAATTCTCATCATTTTTATTACTTGTCCAGAATGGAAACAGCGCTCTGTCCATTGCAAGGAGGCTCGGCTATATCTCTGTTGTGGACACGCTCAAGGTGGTCACAGAGGAGACTCTGACCACTCAGGTGTGTATGTGTTTAAAAGAGTGTTCAAATGTGATGTATGGTTTAATATGGCTTCTCAATGGTTTACTTGTATCTAACTGTATAGATACAGTTATACTTAAACTTAGTAGTAGTTATACTTAAACCTGAATCCTAGAGGCAGTTCCTGCCGCTTAGCAGCTATCTTGAAATGCCTCGGGCATTAACAGTGAAGTAACAGGCAGTTACTTCACAAAAACAGAAGCATTGAAGGCACTGGCCTAAGATAGTGTTTAAAAAACTTTATTCTATGAAGCTTGGAAAGAAAAGCGTCTGGACTTTATTAAGTTCTATAAGAACTTAAAGAAGCTCTTTAAGAAGTCCAGACGCTTTTCTTTCCAAGCTCCATAGACTACGATGACCTGGATGACTGAGAGCCTTCACAGACATAAAAAATATATCTATATAAAAGCTACTATCAAAGGCTTTCTAGAACATTTTGAATTATTATTTGTGCACATAAGTTTGTATTGCTACATTAAAAAAATAACATGAAAGAAAAGACCTACATAAACATAGAAATGCAAAGTTACTGGAACATTGTCACAGTAAACAGTGCAGGAATAGAGATGCTGTTGTACTGGGATAGAAATCTGGATTACGCGTACTTTGGTAAAGTTACTGTCATGATATTAAGAGCGTGTTTCTGTTCAACAGACTGTAATCGAGAAGCACAAAATGAATGTCCCCGAGACCATGAACGAGGTGCTGGACATGTCCGATGATGAAGGTAAAGTTTTGCTTAACAGCATTTTTAAAGTAATTCTATTGATGTATAAATATCAAGGCAAGACTTGTCTTTGCAACCTGAAGAGAGACAAATTCTTTAAAATATCAGCTTGGGTCACATTTGCTTTTGTGGCTGGAATAAGTGAATATTTCAGCACTGTACTGTCATTGTTAGATTTCCCTCTATTTTTTTTTTATTGTCAATGAAAGATTTTGTGTTGCTTCTACTTCTTCTGAGTAATTCAGAAGAAAAAACCTGCTGTTGTTCTTCAACCAGTATGTTTATTTGTTTATTTTTTATTTGATAATTGAAAGGTTTGTTTCCGCCACTGTAACCCCCCCCAAAGCAACACATATTTTTTCCATTACTAAGTCAAAATTTCAGGTTACTATCTAAAATCTATGAGTTTCATATCTCAAATATAACTCTAACTTCTAAATTTGAGTCCAAATTGTGACTTGACATACAATCGTGTGCATGATTGGAAACTTTATTTTGATATTTTCAATGTAACAAATGGAACTAAAACATTTAATAATAATAATCACGTTTATTTTCAGTTCTTCCTTTTCCTATGATTTTGATGTGAATATGATTTCTCCATCTATTTTTGGTTCTTTTTTTGTCTTTCCTTCATTCAAACACACAGTGTATAAAGCCAATATCCCCGAAATGATCACAGAGGACTATTTTTCTGATGTGGAAGAAGGTATTTTATTTTTTTAATCTTTCTACATTTTTTGTTCTTTAAAGCATTTCCTTTTACAACCCTTCTCTAACGCGTCATTCATTTGTTCTAACTATTTCCAGTCTCTTGCTTTTCTTGTGTCACAGTGGAATCACGATTCATTCAAAATAAATAATAACTCACATGTAAAACAGCCTATATTATGCTACAGATTAATAATGTTAATTGAGGAAAAATGTTTCGATACTGCAGATCTTTTTTTCACCAAAGCACCTTTATTTGTCTGTCAAAATGCACAAAGGTGTCTTTGTCATTTATGTCTGCTTGCAAAAGACTAATAAATGTCTAAAAGTTGCAATATGATGGGATGCACTTGAAATCAAATTAACCTTGAAGGAGATAGAGGTGGATACTAGCAATAGAATTGGCGAAAAAAGTGCCACAAAACACTCATCTATGCTTACATGTTTAACATGTTTTGTCTCGTAATGTCAGTTTCAGGCTACTATATTTCGTTAAGGTTAAGCAGGTAACAAGACAGAATTTTTTTTTAAATAATCATCAATTAGTTGTATTAATGTGCCATGTTTTTACCTCCTCCAGATTGATTTTTGGAGTATTTCATATATCTGGTTGCTAGCAAAAAGCTCCGATGTCAACCATATTAGAAAAAAAATTATGTTTGTTTTATTGTGAATATAGTGAAGTCACAGCACTGTGGATGTCTTAAACTTATGATGTGATGAGGGTGATTTATTGACGTGACACTAGAAGCAGTGTTTTCAATTACTGAGAATCACTAACTTTGGCATGGCTTTAAAATGGCACTACTCTCTTCTTCATTGTTTTCCCAAGTATTTTTCTAAAACTTTTGTTCTTCATTCATGCATGTGTGAGACACCACGCTGTACTTGAGTACTTTCCCCTGCTGCCTTCCCCCTTCCACACGCACACACTGCATTTTTGTGAAACCTCCTGTACTTTTGTGCAACCAAATGCAGGGGATATGCCTTTCTGCCGGTTGCCATGCCAACTGTCTGGATATGGAGCGTCGCGAAGTGTGTAACAGATTTCTTTTCACACCGCGGAGTAGAATACACATACACTTGATCCTTTGTCTTCGTGGGCTTGTCAGTGATGCTTTCATTGTAGTTTCACACGTTCAGGCCAAAGCAAACACACTGAAGCAGCTGCTGCAGTGTGTGTGTGTGTTTACTCTTTTCTACTCTTTTTTTAGACTCCTGTATGGCTCAAAAGGATCTGAACTTGAGCTCTTGACCACCAGTGCCCAATGACAAACAGACAGGGAATTAATAATCAGTAGATTTCTTTTTTTTTTTTTAAGAGGGGGAGCTTGGCTCGTCCTCCCCCCTGTGGTGTTTTCCCAATGATAGGCTTTCATTTTTAACTTGTCACACGCTTCATGGTTTCTGTAGTTTACAGTGGATAAATATCAGCAACTTGCAGAAATGTAATCTACTTTTAACAGTTCACTTTCCTGCAGTAGTGTGAATATATCACAGAATTACTAGAAAACCTCTGCTGATGTCAAATACAGTGTACTTAATGAAATGTAAATACAGTATAGCTCTATGTCTCGATATTCTGGTGACCTCACAGTGAGTTTTACTGAGTTTTACTGGTCCAAGTTTGCATTAGAAATTTGAATTTTTTGAGGGAAAATAGGATTTAAAAAAAAAGAGATGAGATGGCAACTGATAAAAACGAAGGCTGGAGTAATGTGATCATACATAAATCTCGCCTCCGCCTTCTAGCTTTTTGAAATAGGATGTGACAAGTAAAGTGTGGCTCTGACTTGAGATTGACAAGTCATTACCCAGTGAGCATACCCTAGTTAATCCTCCTCTTAATAATGACCATAATTTACATAATGAACTACATCTTTCATTTACTTTGTCCCAAAAACTAGCGAATTAGTTTATTACATAATACCGAGGTCCAAAGTAAGGGAGCTAAGGGCAATTTTCCTGTTTAGTTTTTGCAGACACGTGCCTGCTAACCATGTGATACTAAATTTTCTGCCATTTTTGATGTGCAATACTCCTGGTGACAGTGTAAGTTAGTGTGAGACCAGTCTGAAACCACTGGTTGTGAGAGGAAAAAATGTGCATTTCCTGAACGGATGCCAAAAACCTTGTTGGGATTGCTTTGGTTGCTTGCAGATTGCCAAGGTTGTCCATAGATTATTTGGAGGACACCAACTTCTCTGCAGACACTCAGCTACTCTTCAGATGGTAGTGAAACTCCACAAGCAAAAAACGGAGACCGTCAAGTTTTACTACAAAGTGTATGCAGACGAGTTGGCATCTTCCGTGCAAACTACAGATGACTTTGGCAATATACTAGAAATGAAAGCAATTGCAAGAACATTGTCATTGCGCCAGTCTTTGAGACTGATTTCACCTAGCTACAACCAGGAACCCCAGGAACCCCTTGCCAACCAGTCTGGAAATGCACATGTTTTTAGGACGGACAAGTTTTGAGAAAGGTGCACATGACGTTACACAGCAAACCTCTGCAGACTTGTATAACCAAAAGTGTTTTTTTCAAGGAAAAGAGTCATCCCCCTACTGGTCATAAAATAGTTTCCTCTTTTGAGAGCTGGAAGCTAGGTCCATCTTTTACACTGTGTGTTTCCAAATGTAGACAGAAATGGTCAAATGTGATTCTGCTTGTGTTTAAACAGAAATGGATGTTGGAAATATCTGCATCAGCTATTCCTGTAAGTCAAACGAAAGTGATCTTGTTGTAACTAACTCTAATACCCAGCGTGAACTGGCACAGCTGAACTGATGCAACTAAACACTGTGTGTGATTTTGTTGGTATTAAAAAAAAAAAAAAAGATTTCATACATATGTGCATGACTTGCCTTCACGCTGACTTTGTGCAGTGCTTGTTTTGATTGTAGAGCTTCAGCAGTGTGTCCGTGTTTAATTTTTGATCTAAAAATATAACGAGGGCAACTCAACGCGCACAAATATACACTCTCAAGCTCGCATACCAGTGGAGGAATGGTGTTTAACATCTCCAGTAACACACTCAATCCATGATCTAAATCAGGAGACCCCTGTGCAATTTGTAAACTTTGCCTTCGTGAGAGATTTTCCAGACCAGTAAAGTCAGTTAAAGTTGGTTAAAGGATTTAAAGGGTAAAACATACACACGGCATGTCGGTATTCAGTTTATGACCAATAACCAATGTAGTGACTGATTTTAATGTCTTTTTTCCATCTTTGGCCCTTTATTCCTGTCTGAAGTTTTGCCGATTCACATTGTAAATATAGCTAAATATAGCAACCTGTCATTTAAGGAGGACAACCTGTTCATTTATGTAATAGAACTGATTAATAGGCTGCAAATAAGAACCTTCTTTCAGACATGGGCTGCCCAACAATGCTGGTGTTATCACTGTATTCAGGGGATGGCATTCTGTCATTGTGATGAGTCACTTGCATTATTGATCTCCTCCCAGTTTCACTCAAATGTTCCCAGAACAGTAACAGAAAGAGTCAGTGTTTCCGAGTTTTTAGGTACTAAAACTCATGAGATCAGAGTTTCCTTTACAGCTGTTTTCTTTATAGTACCTTTGAGAATTTGAGAAGGCTATGACAAGTAATTATGGGAAGCCATCCAAGCAGTCTTTAGTAAACTTTAGAAAAAAAAGAATCAAACTTTTACCAAACTGCAGGTTATAAATCGCCCCTGAAGTGAGCTACAAGTGTGTGTGCAGCTCTCATGCTTTGGAGAAGCTTGCAAACAGAATGTGGCTTTCTAGTACTTCTATATATGTAATAAGTATGTAATAAACTCAAAAGAAAACTTACATAAACAGCTGGAACCAACAAACAAGAAGTAGCTTTTCAGCTGTTTTTAAATATACTTGTTTTGTTTTTTAAATTGGGTATTCTTGTTAGGTGGTTACCATAAAGTTGTTATCAACTTTTCAATATGGGTGAAAGCCACTATGTGAAAGGTGTTTTTGTGGTTTTGGAAAGTTCTGTGTGCGCCTCCGGCACGTTCACTAACCCTCGATATTTAATTATCTGGGGGCTTCAAGTTTTTAATACAGCCTTAGATAGAAAGTGTTTGGACATGTGGCACATAAATGGTCAGCATGAACAGATTTGCTTCTTGGCTTTAAAATGCATTACAAAAACTTGATGCTTTTCTTAATAGCCAAGGGCCCTAAAGTTTGAAAACAGTCTCTAGTGATTTTCCAAAGTCAGATTCTGTTTACTGCCTAAATGTTACCTCAAATGAACCCTTCCACATCTATTACGGGCAGAAAATGCAAATTTGAAATTGAATTAATTTGGAGGTTCAAGAATCAGGCGTTGGTGTATCAGTGGGCCGGTATTATTGGCCAGCATTAGCTATTTAACAGTCTTTCTGTACCAACATTTAAACTAGCTGATAAATGAACATTTAAAAAGTAAAGACTGGAGAAACACCCTTCAATTAATTTACATATAACAGAGCAATACCTGTTTATGTTTTGTAGCTGAATAAAAAAAGGGCTGATATATCAGAATACTGGCTTTTACAAAATGATATGATAAAATCTGTGTCAGTATTGATCTTAAAAATCCATCAGGCTCTAGCCAGAACATTGACTGTCAGCCTTGTGGATAATATAACACTTACAAAAAAGACAGGAAGGTTGGAGGTAAAATAAAAAAGATAATGTTTTTAAAACAGTACACTGTCCTTTTGAAAATTAACAGTGCAGTCCATAGAAGTGCAAACAGGCATATCAGCAGAATACTTTGAAAAATAATGGGATAATGTAGAAAGAAAACATGTTCATGAAAATAACATGTTGAATTGCAACTACTGCAGATACACTGAGTATTGGTTTTGTTGACTAGAATCTAAAAAAGTGTGTATACAAGTGAAGAATTTGCATTATCCACATTATCCATGACAATGTACAACATCGGTTTGTTGCACAGATAAATACATGCCTGTATTTCCCTCGTGTCTCTAGATGCTTCGGTGTCAGTGCCAACCGGTATAATCTGCATTGCTTCATCCTTTGTTTTCATGTGGGTTGTGGCAGAAGTCACATTGTTAGAATCTTAAGCTAAATTTGGTGAAGGTTGCTTTTAGTCACCAAAGCTCACTCTGCCCATACTGCAGTCTAGAACCTCTGCATTATTATCAGCACATTTTGCTGGACTTGGAATGGCTTTTCAATTTTCTACCAAGCTGCAAGTTCCAGTTCTTTATTAGATATTTGCATAATATCTGATTCAGGAAAGACGTGGCAAAGTTACAACTTTCTGACATGCAAAGCAGCTGAATGAGTGAGGTCATTTGTGACTGACACCAAAGAATTTACATGGAGAAGCAAGAGAGATAAAAAGGGGGGGGGGCAGACAGAGTCAGCAGTGCTTTGGAAATTAAAGAGACATACAATATGATATGTAAACAAACCAGTGCACGAATAGAAATCACAAGATTGAGAACTGGAAGTTAAGGAAAACAGAGTTTGTACATTCCACTCTATGTGTACATCCAGTTTCAGTGTTAGACGGCTAAGTCTAAGTCACACACCCACTTACTATTTCTGTCCTGCAGTGAGCTCTAGGTGTCTGTTCGGAAACACACACACACACACACTCACACACACACACTGGATAATCCTGGAGTGGGTAGGCGGGAGAAAGCCGATCTGTTTGTGTGAGTGCAGGGCTGTGAAAGAAAGATAGACAGTGTGTGCAGGAGAGAGCGACAGAGAGCTAAAGGGAGGTTACAAGTCGAGGAAAAGTTAGTTCAGGGCAAAATCCTCCAAACTGGACTTGTGGCTGAATGAAGTGCTTTAAAGCAGGAGGTGAGTTTGTGGCTAACTGAGGAGGGGGTTTCTGCTCATGTTGAAGCTGAAATGAGAAGGGTTCCCGGAGAATGGGTTGGAATGTGGCCAGATGGGGTCTGTAAAATGTTTGTGAATATGTGTGTGTGCAAGAAAGAGAGAGAAAGTTTAGGGGGAGGGGTGCTGTACCAGCAGGGGGTGAGGGGACACGAGAAGGAGAGGGGGGGTCTCTGTTGCTTTGTGGTTGTTGGAATGCCTTCCTTTTCTTTCCCCTCATTTTTCCGCCTGCATGCACTTGCTCTCCTCCCCTCGCTTTTTAAACTCTGCAGTCACAGGTTCATCAGTAGGATAGGAACTACTGTACCTCTGAGGGGAATAGCATGCTCCTACCTGTTTTCTTGCGACACCTGTAACGTATGTTTCTAACCACTTCTTTGCAACATACTTGCAATGATGTCCTGGGGCTCGGCTGTAGAGAAAGCATTTTCTTCTTGTGGTCAGTTAAACCTGCTGAAAACTTACCTTTATTTTGATATAAAAGTTAGTTTTGTAGGCCCTGATAGTGGAATTATTTGCCGTTTCCAAGCTTCACTTGTTACTGTTAACCATTTTTTTGTCACCAGGAGACAGAGACAAAAAGCTTTCAGTGACAGCAGGACTTTTGTTTGTGTTTGTTGAACCAAAACTGGACTGGAAAACAGCCTGTAGGCAGAAGCTGCATTGATCTGTCTAAAAGAGCCAGTGTGTGTGTGTGTATGTGTGTACATTTGTGTTTTGGTCTGCATGAATGATAAAAAACAAGGCCAACTGACTGGGCAGCACAGATTTGTTTTAAAGATCTAACTTGCTAAAAGAAACCCAGAAAGCAGTTATTGATTGAAGAGACTGTGACCTTAAAGTTTTGGCATTACCTTCTGCAGACGAGAGTAAAAATGTATGCAGAACCTTTTTTGTAAAGTTAACGCTCTCTGTGTTTTAAACCACCAGGTGACGATGCGATGACGGGGGACACGGACAAATATATGGCCCCCCAGGATCTGCGGGAACTGGGCGACGACTCACTCCCTCAGGACGGCTACATGGGCTTCAGCATTGGGGCACGATCTCAGAGGTAACATGCTATAACATGCAGCAATTTGCGTTTGTGCTGTGTCTGTTCCTAGCTTTTGTATGTTTTCTACATGTAGCATTGTAACATCAGTTGTTATGACATACATAACATTGCAGCTGCCGACTGTGAGAAATGTGGAGGTTTACAAAAATATAAAATTTCCATGGCTAAAAAAAATGACCACGGTTGTAGTTTTGTTTCAGCATTTTCCCAGAAGCAGTATTTATAGATCCACGACTCTTATAGATCCAGGCATAGCTTCTGGGTTTAAAATGTGAAAACAGCTATCTTAAACGTGCAATCTTGCTGAAGGCCAGCAAGGTGCAACTCTTCTGTTTGTAAAAAGATTAAGAAACTGACCTTAATTCTGACTTAAATTATGACCTCACTAAACCTTTTCATGATGATTTTATGGTCTCCTCTGGAAGTTTAGGTCTATTAACTTGGTGATGGTGGCATTTAGAATAAAATAGATGATAAAGGGTGTAGCTATGTTGCGATTTATTTAGACAGGTCACTGTGTCAGGCAGAATCACCTTTGTCTCTTTATACAGCCTAATATCTGACATGGGAACAGACAAATAGTAGAGTATTTGGTTTAAAGACTAGTTAAAGGTGAAAAAATCTTGTGAAGAAAGCGATTACCAACCTAACCGACTTAGCCCCTTGATTAGCCCTTTATTGATTTAAACAGAGCTTCCTTGCAAGCAGTCAGGTGGCTGCAAGCTATCACTACGTCACCAATCTTCTCATACCACATATTTTACAAAGATCTGCAGATAACGTGTGCTGTGGAACTTTTTCAGCAACGACCTAAAAGAAAAAACATGGGCGTAGCACAGGTCAAATGGTTTTAAAATAAAACCTCTAAAGTACAAAACAAGAAACTGCTCTTTCACACGAGTTTATGGATTTTTATGGAAAAATAGTTGGGCAGATGCTTGTCTTCATTTGTGGTCATCTATACTTTTGTAGTGCAATTTATTTTTATTGAATGGGTCTTTTTCAGACACAGTTACTGCTTGACTAGATACTGCAGTGTTAATCAGAACAGGGTTCATGAACTACTTTTAACAGCACAAGAAATCTTGTGATACCTCATGATCTAAAAATACAGTTTGCACACAGAAAATGGATAAACTCACAGAGCTGCAGGTTTTTAAGTTGAAATGATCTTGTTTGTATGTCAGAAGATTTTAAATAACAATGTAGCTTTCCATTATTCTGATCCCTACATGTCACACACACAAACACACCCAGAGGTTACAGTTTTCACCCTGCAACTGCTGAACTTTATGCTTGTATGAAAATATTGACACTTGTGCAACTGGCTGAAGAGGGAGGGGTTATTGAATATCTGAAGCGTGACACACATGCACGCTGAGCCACAGGAAATTAGAAGCACGTTCAATTGCATGGCCTTGAGTGCTGGGTTAGATCAACACACACTGTTTGAGGGGTGATGTCTGTGCGTGCGTGTGTGTGTTTGACCAATCTAGCTTAGAGATAGTTTAACAAACTGGTTTCTCATGCAGTAATTGGTTCAAATAACTTCCAGTGCAGTCCATCTAGAAGATAATAAATTTTAATAAAAATGTTATAAAAATAAAAAGGTTTTAGAAAGTGCCTTCCAGGTTTTCCTCATAATATTAACAGCAGAACATGAGTATCCTGCATAATTTATGATACTAGAGGTTGATGTAATACAAATTCTGATCCCCAATTTCAACTTAGCAATCTTTTTTTGTTAGAAAGAATAGAATAAAATAGCCTTCTATTGTCATTTTACATGTACAATGAAAATAGTGGAAGTTTGTTGTAAGAATAGATCAGATTTAAAGTTTCATTCAATGTGATGAGATGGAGAATTATCATCCGTGTGCAGTTCATCTCAGCTCTAGAATGTTTGGAGTTTTACAAACATGTGATTTGGTTCCATGGCCTGAAACACGGGCTATTTGGTTTCAGTCTTTTTGTTCTCCCCCTTTTTTTATAGCTACAACAGATAAAACTCAAATAAAACTAAGTGCTTCATACCCGCAGAGCAACAAAAAGCAGGCAAACCATAGCTAACTGATGAGAATGGTGGCGCATTTAGCAGCTATCGAGGCACATGTTTCTCCTCAGAGATTAAGGGTCATTCAGATCTCAGAGCTGGAATACTCTAACACCTCCCTATTTGCAACTCCTCCCTCATGCACAAAGTTTCAGGCAGCTGGTTAGGCAGTCAGCCATTTGTCATCATTGTACCAACCTGCATCTGTGCTCTGGCTTCTCGTCTTTCTGTCCACTCCTCTGTTTGTTCATGATGTTTTATTCTCTCCTCATGTCCGTTGTTAACGTTAGTCCGAAAGTCAGGTAAGACTCAAGGCATGACGAGGCCTCCCCCATCTCACCCCTTCCCCACTCCCTTAAACCCCAGTTGCTATCAGTATCATGACTCTGTGGTTCAGTGTAATGCATATTGACCATATTTGTTTAACACATTTGACTACTAACGCAATGATCTTGACCAGTTTTGTTAACTCTGTGGCACTGTGTGTTTGCTGTGGTTCACCTGTGTGATCTCTGTCTGATTTCTTACTTTCAGTTGAAAAGCGCTCAGCTGGCTATAGAGAATAGTGGTGTTTATTTTTATGTTTGACTGTATCTTGGTCTTTGTGGGTTTTCCACAAAGGTGGAGCTTTGCATAATTTTGATTTCTCCATCAAGCTTCCAGGGACCTGAACTGATATCTGTAGGCAATGAGGATGCTATTGCCTTCATCAGTTTAGGCTCAAATAGTTTATCCCTGAATACTTTCAGAGAATATATATTGAATACTCAGTAATAAAGATATCAAATGTGATTTCATGTGGATAAGTAGTTCCAAAATCAAATCGCAATGTGAAATTGCAATGTTATTGTGGAAGAAACAAATCCATGCCAAGTGACATTTTTGTCATCTCATAACATTGCAAGCATAGTCTGTAAAAGAAAAATCCTTTTGTTGTATCGAGGTCTGTCTAAAGCCAGCATTCACATCCATTTTTCCGACCTCCGTAAACACTTTCCTGCTGATTTTATGGGCTCAGCTGCAAGTTTCAAGCCTGCTGAATAACATATAAAAGTATTATCATAGCACTATGACCATTATCAGAATGAGAGAAGGAGGATTATCTATCATCTAAAGATATATTAACATGCTGTTAATCAATTCTGTGTCATAGATAGATCTCCCCTTAAATCCCCTTCGCCCCTGGCTTATCAGGTCCAATTTTAAACCATCAACCTGGCGAAGGTGAAAAAAATGATTCTTGCAGATCTCTGGGAATTCACCTCTGTGGTTGATGTCACAGAGACACAGCTGAAAAAGCTGAAAAACAAACAAACCAAAATAAATCAATCCCTGCAAACAGGTTGAGTAGCACTTTATTACTATAGTAACTATAGTTGTTATAGTTATTTTCCCTGATTTCCAAAGCTGTGACAGCATAAATTTGGTCAGTTGCAGTGATAGTCCCAGAGCAACATTAATGAGAAATTGCTAGAAGTAGAATTACTTGTAAAAGTATTCAAATTTTAAGTTGTACAAATGAATTTAATGTTATTTAGATTGTTGTTTGGACAGGACAAGTGAAACTCTTTCAGTACTGAATAGCTTCACAACACAAGTCTGACTTTAACTACGGGCTGTAACAGAAGTCAGATATCGTCCAGTCTTTTTTTAGATCATATCTTTGGCTTTTTATAGAAAATCAAGATTGCTAATTATGCCCTCATTAAGATCATTAAACATTTTTGTTCTGCAGTTTCCTTTACTTTAACTAGTACACAGTTTCATGCAATATACACTTATCTCGGCGATTGTGGCTCAAGAGTTGGCAGTTCGTCTTGTAACCGGAAGGTTGCCGGTTCAAGCCCCGGCTCGGACGTTGTGTCCTTGGGCAAGACACTTCACCTACCGCCTACTGGTGATGGCCAGAGGGGTCGATGGCGCAATATGGCAGCCTCGCCTCTGTCAGTCTGCCCCAGGGCAGCTGTGGCTACAACTGTAGCTTGCCTCCACCAGTGTGTGAATGTGAGAGTGAATGAATAGTGGAATTGTAAAGCGCTATATAAATGCAATCCATTATTAACATCCCCCCGAAATTATTCCACCAATTTGAAATAAAACTTTTTTTTTCTTCTTCAGGAATAATATATGTTGAGGACATAACTTTTGATTCCTGGAGACAGTAATCAATTGAATGGAATGAATGGAAAAAGGACTCCCAGCTATAAATGTAAAATCTTTGGATAATTGTATGAAAAAATAAATCTGTTGCAGCCACATCTGCTCTTGGTTTCCACAGCCTTGTAATTTTAGCACTTAGAGTTGTGCTGTAGAGCACTTCCTGCCATTGATAGTTAATTGGTTCACAATAGTTTACTTGCATAAAGCTAATGGCACTGATGTAATTGCTGTTGGGATGTTGCAGGCAAACATTCGTCATGTCATTGCTCAGGAATGCTTTTTATTTGCCTCATAAAAGTTTGTCTCAAAGCTCCCATCACAAACAACATTACAGCCTGCACAAGCAGACAGATGTATACAAAGACATGAGGAGTCAAAATAGTGCCAGCTGATTATCAACAAAGTTGTCATTATTATGGGTAAATACCAGCTCCACTTTCCACCAGCATCCATCGTGTAGCAACCTGCCTTCCTTTTACATGCTATCCTGCTTTACTCAGGCTTATGGTGCTTTATTCTGTGTGCAGCATGGGATCAAAGTGAAGAGGCTAAAAATGCAGGAAGTGTAAGAACAGGTGTAGATGGAACATGAGTTTTCTTTCTTTTACTGTACACTGATCGCCCCAGAAGTACAATCTCATCTGCATCTGAAATTTTTTATTTCGATTTTTAATCACTTCAGCGAAATTACACATCAGTCATTTCTCTCAGCTTTTAATCTGTTTTCTTGTGGTTGTTGTTGTCTCTGGTGCCATACAGTCAGGTTCCTGGAAGCTGCATGCATTTAATGTGTTTGTGTTTGTTTTTTTTGTTTTGTTTTTTCTGTTCACTTTCATACCCCTTTACCCTCTGCCCCCCCCCCCCCCCCTACCACCACCACCTCCTCCTCCTCCTCCTCTTCCTCACCTCCCCTTTCCATCACTGTGACTGTTGTCTTGGTAATCTACTACGACAACCACACCAAGCCTTCGTTCCTTCAGTTCTGATAGGTCCAACATGCTGAACCGGAGCTCGTTTACACGGGACAGCATGATGATAGAGGAGATACTGGCGCCGAGTAAGGAGATGGTACGTACACTAACTGGACCTTCGGGTCTTAAAAGTGGACTTATTATGCTTTTTCTTATTTCCTGTCACATGAATCATGTTACAATGTTTAATCTCTAACATAACCAGGGCCAACGTGTCAAATAATGAGGTCAGTGTATTTACAAATAATCCAGACTGCTCTAAACTCTGTTTCACAAAGTCCCTAATATGGACATCACACATAATAGTCACATCCAGCTGCTGTTCAAATCTTCTGTTTGCAAGGAGCAGCCAATCACAATAAAGTTGGCTTAAAGGAGGGGTGATGGGCTCTGAATCAGCTAGTTTCAGATTTTGGATGAAGTGAGAGGCTGCTCATATAATAACGATTATTATGAATTGCAAATCATGCAAAGCTACTCTAGTCGGAGCAAAAAATCAGTTTGAAGCTGCTCGTGCTATGCTTCATACCTCTTGCTGGCTGCTCCCTTAGTTTAATTCTCTCAGCCGGTAATCCGCTGGTCATTAACTTTACAAGTGACACACTTCTGTCTCCAAATGTACCAAGGTGTCTTGGTGCTGTGCCAGAGGCTATGCAATACACCAATCCTCTTACACTTGTGTTGCCACTGACATAAAGACGATCAATCAAGTTACAATTTACTGAAAGAGGAAATGAGATTAGTGCTACCTGCTGCTATCTAAGAGGGATTATTGTGATGTCCCACTTACTTGAAAGATGCAAGAAAATAGCATTTAAGGTTAAGAAGAAGAAGAAGAAGTTCAAGTAAAACTTGCTCATAGAATACCCATGAGTTCAATGACAGCGCGGATAAAGATTATGCTTGCCTGTGAAGTGACAGGTAAAGTCTTTCTTGCATAAGCAGTGGCAAATGTGCATCTCTGTTTCTTAAAATGTAAAATTGGCACCAAACATGACTCATTGAACTACTTGGTTTGCTATCCACAAAAAAGCTGAAACATGCTGAAAACTGCTAAACAGTTTTGCTTTTTTCTTTTCTTTTCTTTGGGAATTACTTCAGCCAGAACATGGTACAAAATCTTTATATGTCAGCTAGCTATCGTGTTGCTATTGCATAATTTAATTCTGCATTGAATCTGCGTAGAGCCTCTAATGTAGCTGACACAACAGGCCTACGCCTTTTCCATCATGTATAATATCAGTGGAGGTTATCTATCCTCCTCCAGTCGATTTAAAAATCCCACTGAACACCACTCAACCTCTTCAAACCTTTATTTTTTTAGTTAATGCTTGACTGTAACACAACTGACCATTTTACTAGATTTACACAAAAAAACAGATAATTTTATTAGATAAAAAGAATTTGGACTTTTGTTTGAAACTCTGACTGGTTCTTTTATATTTGATTGCTTTTGCAAGCTGAAGGGGCATTTGGACCCAGAACTGGATAATATGGTTTAACTCTGAATTAAAAACTTTGCTCCTTTGCACAAAGAGTGGTCAAAAACTCTGTGGGGTCTATTTAACTGAAATTTAAAAAAAAAAAACTACATCTGAGACTATCTGCAAATTTATGACACTGGGACATATGATTGTGTAACTTGAGAGTAAAGATGTACTAGTTATTGAGTAATTGAATAACCACTTGTTTCCTCTAACGCTCCTCCAGATGCTTCGTAAGGAAAAGTCTTTCATTGTAGAGCAACACAATAAGGTAGATGTAGAAGTCATTATGCACTCTTCGTGTCAGTGGGTTTCCACATGTTGGTATCATTTAGTTGTGTAAAGCATTGTTAACTTTTCTTTTTTTATATCACTTATTTCATCAGTTGGATTCGGTTGTTACCGCGTGTATTTACAGTGTTTTAGTAGAGTAGCCTCCCTGTTTTTACTTATCCATGTGCCTTGGATAAGTAAAACCAAACTTTGTGTTTTTGTCACTCCCCGTTTTTCTGTAGCAATTTGGAGATTAATATAATACTCCAAGTATTTTTTCCTCATTGAATGTGAGCGAGTTTTCAGAAGTACTCTAAAATCTTAGCTTTAATTTTCTGTGTGAAGCATGGCCTTCAACTTGACATGTCATATTGGTGCACATCTGGAGTATAAATAGTGAATCTGAATCTTTCAAGAGCATCCTCAGACGGATGACACAACGGGCCTGGTGTCAGTGCATCTGTCTGTCTGTAAACATTTTTAGTCGCTTGTTTTCTGCCATCTGATGTCTGTTTTTTCTTTTGATCCTTAATGTGGTGATTTTTCATTTGCATTTTACTCCGAGCTTCGTTTTGATTGTCATCAAGATGTTTTTGACAGCTTGTGTTCTAATGAAATGTAACATCTCCTGATTTTTTTTTTTTACGCTAAGCGACATCTGCTGCTGTCTTTCTCGTGAAGAAATTATTTTATGACTCATTCATAAATTTGCAAGAAATATCTACAAAACTAGTGATCCCCGTCTAAACTTTGACATTAAATAAGGAATATTGAAAAATCTGTAGCCTCCACACTATTAGCCTTGCATGTGCAAAAGCAAGTCTTTACATTAAAAGGAGAAGTTAGCTTAGATTTTCACACACTCGTGAATTGCACTGACTCTGTTGTCTTCTCCACAGCATTTGGCAGCGGCTAAGGACTTTGACAGCGACTCTCTGAGGAGGTACAGCTGGACTGCAGATGCACTGGATAATGTCAACCTAGTGTCCTCACCAATACACTCCGGGTAAGCATGTTTGAAAATGTGAATGGATAAGAACAGGAGGAAAGAGTGGGGGGAGTAAAAAGGGAAAATATCTGACTTAATCACAAAGATGGAGTGAAAAAGTGGAAGGAGAGGAAGGAAAACGGCTTACCAGTTTTATACCCTTTAGAGGAAAGGATGAAGTGACTGTCATCATCTCCTTCTGCTTATTGTGTGTTTTCTGTTTGTTCTTCTTGCTGAGTCTCATTTTCTTTCCCTCTGACAAGGCAGCTCATACATGCAGCATTTTTTCTTCACCCTTTTTAAGTCTTTAAAGCTAATACTTTGAGGATTTCTGTAATTAAAAAAAAAATCAAACATTAATAACAAACAGGTGTAACTAGAAACTGCTGTTAAAAAGAAACTTTTAGTCACAACAAAGTAAAGCTGGAAAGTTGGCTCCTCCTCACCTTGATTTGAAGGTCACATTGTCTCTCGCAGCAGCTGTAGCAGGTAATCTTGACCTCTTGGTTAATTGCCCATTAAGGGACTCGTTTGAAAGTTACGTACACTGCCCGGCCAAAAAAAATTATAGTTGCATAAATTTTTTATCAAAACTTCGCCTTGTTAATGTGAAAATCAGACCATTGCGTAAAGCACATCCCAAGTTTCTATGGTTAAGGCCTGGACTGAACCACTCTTTTATAATTTGTTATCTTAGAATATGCCATCAGAGAAGAAACAATGCACTGTTTAAAAAATGTGGTCATTCCCTCATTTCTGGGGTATATAACATATATTAAACCAGATATCACCAACTAAAGCAACCCTAGATTATAACACAGCAAGCACAAGGCATGATGGGTATATCGCTTCATCAACTACTCCTGGTGCCTGAGGCCCCCCATCACTCTGGAGCAGGGTAAACTGGACTCATCCTGTCCACATTTACCAGGTAGATTTATTTACAGAGTCCAATCTTTATACTCCTTATCAAACTGAAGCCTTTAATTCTGATTAGCCTCACTGATAGGACTACAGTTTGTTTGACTCTTCTGAAACATGTCTTACAATGTGTTTGCAAGAGAAATGAGAAGCTACTCACTGCATCACTTAGAGATAATTAACCTGTTTCCAATCTAAACATATTATGGAAGACTCTTACGTATTTGCTTGGTTAAACGCAGGTGGTGAGTGTTTTTGGCCAGGCAGTGTATAGCTTCATCAGGCATTACTTTTTCTCTACTTGTCTTTAATGGATAAACTGTTAAGTTAGGATTACTTAAATTCTATCTGTTACTTAAGTAAAGGAAGATAAAGCTATATTTTAAACAAAGTTTTATTTGACATGTTTGGTAATGGTGAAAATTTGCCTTTCAAGGGTAGATTTAGAGAAGAAGACTTGGGGGGGTGGGGGGGAATGAAGCCACTGCCAGCAGCTGGTTATCTTTAGATTAGTGCAAAGATGGGAGAGAGGGAACCTGCTACACTGGCTCTGTCCAGTGGAAAATCCACCTACAGGCAGCTCTAAAGCTTGATTATCAACATGTTATATCAGCTATGTTAAAGCCGTATAAAGACAAAAATACAGTTCTTTTGCCTGTGTGATGTAATTTGCTGCTGGCTGTTTAACGAATAAAGAAGACAATCTCCTCATTCTAATCTCCACAAAACAGCAATTAAGACTATTTCCCACAGTTTTCCCTCAAATTCTTCCTTTAACTTGGGGTTCATTAATAATGATCTTCTCAGCTGTATTTCCGATTACAAAACTCTGTGGTTGACCTGTCACTCCTGCGTTGCTTTGTTGTCCATCCTGCAGTTTTTCCTCTCCGCTCCCGCAGTACGACAGCAGGTGATTGACTGTGATTGGTTGCCTTCTTTTTATCACCACCACTACCTTTTTTTATTTTATTTTATTTCCCAATGACATTGCACCTTCCCTTTTATATTCACTCATAACATCTGTGTTTGCTGTTCTCACCCTGTGTTGTTACAGACTTGACGTAAAGTGTTTCGGACTGTTATCCCTGTATTTATTCCTTCCTGTTTGTTAGGAGAAAATCTTTGAGTTTCTAACTGATCTGAAAGAGTCTGTGTTGCCAGATCTGACCGAATGTGACTTTTAAATTTAATGTTGCTGACATATGCTTTAGCCATGTGTTTTGGTTTTTGCATTCTCCAGCAGCAAGCCTCTACTGTCTTGACAATCACAGAATTAGCTTTAGTCAGTAAAAACATGGCAGATATGTCATTCTAGATCAAAATGTTAAAACTGAAACTCAGTAAAAGCATCAGTTTGGCTTATAATGTGACAGTGAACCCAGCTCAGTAGTTTATTCTTGGACTCTGCTAGAATAGTTTTGCATGAATCTTACGCTGGCTCTCTGTCTCTCCCTCTCCATTTAAGCATTCTCTCTTTGATTGGCTGCCAATTGTTAGCAGGGGATTTTAACAGCAGGTGGGCGGGGCTTTATTCACATACACGCCCCTCTTTATGGCGTCATGCAGGGCCAAGAGTAGAAAAAACTGACTGAAACGTTTCTTGAAACTTTGGCTATGTTTAATATGAGTATAGATGACAGTTGGAGTGTATGTATGACAGAAAATAAGGAAGCACATAACAGATCCCCTTCAAGCATATTTTTAAAGCAACAATTCACGTGCTGTTTGTTAAATAACATAAAAACTAACATCACATTTTAGCTACAGTATTGCATGGTGTGTGTGTGACTTATAAGTTCCTTGATTGAGTTAAATGAGCTGCACACAGAGGTACACTACCTTCTAATGTGGGTAAAAAGGCAAGACACACTGGAGGTTCCTGTGTTGGTGTCCTGGCTGTCGAATTTATATATCATTACAAAAAAAAAACAATAAAACATTTAATCTGACATCCTATGGAATCGACTAGTTTTTACATAATTCAAAAACATTCACTTTCTGTAAATGAATTTACCAAATTTGCGACATCTACACGCCAAAGCTGTTTTTGTTCTTATTTTATTTTTTCAACTTCAGTCATAGCCAGCACAGAAACCTCTGTACATTTTTGTTTTTTCTTCTTTGTTCACCTCTCTTTCTCCCTTTTACTCACACTTACTTTGTCAGTGTTTTGAAGATCACAGCATGGGACCTCGACTAAAGCTCTTCTCTGGTCATCAGTACAGCTGATAAACCAACATTTGTTTCTCTTCTTATTCCATTCCTTTTCTTTACCCTTTACTTGCCCCCTCTGGTTATCTCTTTGTCTCTTCACTTTGTTTCACCTCTTATCTTTGCACACTCCGTTTCCCTTCTTCTCTCTCTCCTGTCACTCTACGTCTCTCCCCCTCTTTTTCCGGCTCTTCCTACTTTTTACTTTCCGTCAGGTTCCTGGTCAGCTTCATGGTCGACGCCAGGGGTGGTTCCATGAGAGGAAGCCGTCACAACGGCATGAGAATCATCATCCCGCCCAGAAAGTGCACAGCACCCACCCGGATCACGTGTCGACTGGTGAAGAGGCACAAATTGGCGTCGCCTCCCCCGATGGTGGAAGGAGAAGGCCTGGCCAGCAGACTTGTTGAGGTCGGTCCCGCAGGAGCGCAGTTCCTTGGGTAAGACCTTCTTTTTAAACATCGCTGAGATTGTTTTTGCTGTTGCTTAACGGCTTATTTTTGTGCACCTTTGTTCTGTATCTTGACATTTCCTTCCTTCTGCTTCTTGCCATTGCCATTTCCAGCCACCTGCGTTTATATTGGAAAGTGTGAATGTGTGTATGTGCATGTTAGGGGTAATATTTGCAGTACAAGTCTTATTGTTGTAGTCTGCTCACCCCCAAGTAAGCAGTGTTTCCCCTTTGGCAAAGTAAAGGCAACATTAGTAATGACTGCAACATGTTTAAGAGTAAATATTGTAATGTAAATATGTAGCCATAATTGGGTTTTAATGTATATAGCTGTATTGCATGTGAGGAGTTTTTTAAATTCAGCAGTTACAGTTTTAGTATGATTTTAAAAAATGACTGCCTGTTTGATAAAGACGGCTAACAGCTGTGTATCTTGGTCCAAACTGCAAGACAACTCAAATATTCTGAAAGAATACTGCTGAATATGATGGGATTTCAGTAGAGCATACACTCAACAAAAATATAAACGCAACACCTTTGTTACTGCTCCCATTCCCCATGGGATGGACGTAGAGACCTAAAATTCATTCCAGATACACAATATAACCATCCCTCCCAAACAGTGGTCACAAATCAGTCCAAATGTGTGGTAGTGGGCACATCTGCTATATTGAGATAATCCATCCCACCTCACAGGTGTGCCACATCAGGATGCTGATCTGACATCATGAGTAGTGCACAGGTGTACCTCAGACTGCCCACAACAAAAGGCCACCCTGGAATGTGCAGTTTTTTGCGCTATTGGGGGTCTGGGGACCCAGAACCGGTCAGTATCTGGTGTGACCACCATTTGCCTCATGCAGTGCAACACATCGTCGCATGGAGTCTATCAGATTGTCAATTGTGGCCTGTGGAATGTTGGTCCACTCCACTTCAATGGCTGTGCGAGGTTGTTGGATATTCGTGGGAACTGGTACACGCTGTCGTATACGCCGGTCAAGCACATCCCGAACATGCTCAATGGGTGACATGTCCGGTGAGTATGCTGGCCATGCAAGAACTGGGACATTCTCAGCTGCCATCTGCCCTGAACAATGTGAACCATGATTCATCCGTGAAGCGCACACCTCTCCAACGTGCCAGACGCCATCGAATGTGAGCATTTGCCCACACAAGTCTGTTACGGCGACGAGCTGGAGTCAGGTCAAGACCCCGATGAGGACGACGGGCATGCAGTTGAGCGTCCCTGAGACGGTTTCTGACAGTTTGTGCAGAAATTGTTTGGTTGTGCAAACCAATTGTTCCAGCAGCTGTCTGGGTGGCTGGTCTCAGACGATCTTGGAGGTGAACCTGCTGGATGTGGAGGTCCTGGGCTGGTGTGGTTACACGAGGTCTGCGGTTGTGAGGCCGGTTGGATGTGCTGCCATATTCTCTGAAACGCCTGTGGAGACGGCTTATGGTTGAGAAATGAACATTCAATGCACGGGCGACAGATCTGGTTGACATTCCTGCTGTCAGCATGCCAATTGCACGCTCCCTCATTGCTTGTGGCATCTGTGGCATTTTGCTGTGAGACAAAACTGCACATTCCAGGGTGGCCTTTTGTTGTGGGCAGTCTGAGGTACACCTGTGCACTACTCATGATGTCAGATCAGCATCCTGATGTGGCACACCTGTGAGGTGGGATGGATTATCTCAATATAGCAGATGTGCCCACTACCACACATTTGGACTGATTTGTGACCACTGTTTGGGAGGGATGGTTATATTGTGTATCTGGAATGAATTTTAGGTCTCTACGTCCATCCCATGGGAATGGGAGCAGTAACAAAGGTGTTGCGTTTATATTTTTGTTCAGTGTATTTAAAGTTCCAGTGAACACTAGTTCAATACTTGGACTCAGCTCCAAATCTTTTATGTGTTTAAAAAAAATATAAAAGTAATGATACTTAGGAACCAAAAAAAAACAGCCTTTCTTTTGCTGCCGTGCTAGATGGATGTCGCAAACCAAAAATTGTTTATAATATTTCATTCAGAGAAGAAAGTGGAAATGTTTCTAATGAATTAATTTGTTTAAAAATTTTAAAAAAAAAAAAAAATTTTTAAATTTTTTTTAAAAAAAAACCTATGTCATGTTCCATTATGGATGTCATTCCAGATAATTAAAAATGTTTATTGTTTTTTTTTGTCTGTATAAATTGAGATATTATTAAAATTCGACAGCCAGGACACCAACACAGGAACCTCCAGTGTGTCTTGCCTTTTTACCCACATTAGAAGGTAGTGTACCTCTGTGTGCAGCTCATTTAACTCAATCAAGGAACTTATAAGTCACACACACACCATGCAATACTGTAGCTAAAATGTGATGTTAGTTTTTATGTTATTTAACAAACAGCACGTGAATTGTTGCTTTAAAAATATGCTTGAAGGGGATCTGTTATGTGCTTCCTTATTTTCTGTCATACATACACTCCAACTGTCATCTATACTCATATTAAACATAGCCAAAGTTTCAAGAAACGTTTCAGTCAGTTTTTATATCAAGATATTTGTTTAGGATGACGCCAAACGCACAAATAGGATCACAAGTTGGAGTTCATAAAACCAGACACAAGGCACAGAACATGGCTCTCCCCGAACTGTATTACCACCTTAACATCAAGGAATATGATTGAGAGCGCTTTAGGCGAGTGTATAGCTGTGCAATTTTGGGTTGTTCCACATAATCAGCATGGGAAAAACTGAAAATTATTATTATTTCTTAATTGCTCCAAAACGGTGGTCTTATGCTGGTTTAAAGTCAACATGTAGCGTTAAGCCATGCAGCATTAAAAGATGATTAACTCGTTAGAAGCGCTTCTCAAAATCACACGGAAGAGATGGAAGTAATAAGTTCAAAACTAAATGTTTGGAAGTTCAACAAAGAATTGAATCCATTTGATTTATGGCAGTCGAAGCTTTGTTTGCATGATGTGTTTCCCAGTTGTTATAACAGCCACAAAATGGCACCAAAGTGCAGGGAAATAACAGCTGTGTATCTGGGTCCCAACTGAGTAGGTTTTCCATAAACCTGATGCTCTACACAAGTTAATTAGACAGATGTAAAATGAAAACGGGCATTACATTGATTAAAGTCTGGGGGGCCTTGTGGTTAGTCCACAGAATCAGTGACGAACACACAATTACACCACTGGACTTGTGATTTTTCTAGCAGAATTGTTTGCCAAACCAGTCCTCTACAGCCCGGTTCAAGTTTTAACAGTGCAACCTCTTCTTGCAATTTGTATTATCTCAGAAACTTTATCAATAATTTAAAAAATAGTAAACTTAGCAACTGTTTTTAAACACTTTTAAACCAGTTGAGGATATATATAAACGAATCCTTATGGTGCACATGGCAGTACTGAGACAATAATAGCTCGGCCACACTAGTGTTAAAACCTGCAGTTGCCTGGTGATGATTTTCTTTTTCAGCCTGACTCGTTTGCAGTAGGGGACTGAACTCAGCTGGTTGCCAATTCTGGTTATATTTTATACAAATGTGAAAATTGGGGGCACTTGTTTTTTATTTTGCAGTTAATTTATAATTCTGCAACAACTGTGTAACTATTTGTGGAGACATTTCAGGATTTTTGTTGTAGATCTCTGAATGTAAGCATTCGATGTGAATTTCTATGTATGTAGACGGCAACAGATTTGCAATGAAAGGCAACAGATTTGAAATTTGCTTTGGTTTTTCACAGTTAATTATTGCGTTATCCTAAACAGAATGCATGTGCAGTGATTGCCAGCTTGACCTCATTCGATTGCAAACCGATGGCAGGCTGGCTACACTTTATTGCCATTTTATTGCTGTCTTGATGCACCAATGTGGCTTTGAAGACAGTAACTAACCAGGTCCATGTCTTTGAAGTAACAATCTCGAAGGCAACAAGTTCATTTCACAAGTAATTTTGGTTGTACTGCGGTCTGCAACAACTTGTGTAATATGGTTTAAGAGGCTGAAATGTTTAATTTCCATGTATTATAAAACAGAAAGTAGCAGCATTTGTTCCCATTGAGAAGCTGTCGCCAGGAATTCGTTGCTATTTTTGCTTGAAAAATTTCTAATTATTGCCCCATCTGCTACTCATATTACTGCATAACTCATGAGATATGGTTAAAATAAAGAAATCTGTGATGTACAGGCAACAAATATTGCCTCTGTCGCTTGTTGCCATTACTGATGCCACTAATTGTACCTGTAACAATAAATAAGATGTTGTTACTGATAAAAGAGCTTATTACTGATACGGAAATAGAAGTCGGTGGTGTGTGTGTGTGTGTGTTTTTACTGACTTTGCGAGTGTGTGTTTTGTGTGTATGTGTGTTTCATTATTTTGCGGACACAGTAAACTACATCTCCCCAGAAAGCTGCCAGCCCTTAATGAAGGCGAGAGCCTGGTTTGTCCCGTGCTACAGCTGGGACCCAGAGGAACTAGATTTATTGGGTAGGAACCAAACATGGCACCCCTTTCCCTCCTCCCTGCTCCCCTTTCTCCTGTATTTCCCACCTCCCCAAAGGAAACAACATGACCGAGGCTGATTCATGCTGATGGTTTATTTTACCCATCTCTGTTGACTTTGATTTGATAGGTTACAGCATCAGTATGGGTGCCATGTAGTTTTGGGAAGAAATAATCAATATAGTTGGAAGATGGGTCAACCAGCAGCTGATTTGTAATAGCCTCAATGACTTAACAGGCAGAAATTAGTTTTTGCATACAAATTCTTCCTAAAACTACACAGTTTAACTGTGAACTCCATTACAGTTAATTTTCCGCCACTTTCATTTATATATCATTGTATTTTTTTTTTTAATTTCAGAAGCTCTCAGTGGGCCTCTGACGTCACTGAATGTAAAGGTTTTGATTGGCTGTTTGGACTGGACTGCGCTTGTTGGGCATGAGCCTTTTTTTCCCTGAAGCCAAGCATCATTCTGCTTCTCATGACTACTGTTATCAGTTTTATGTCATCTCACGATAATTTTATATAATTAATGTCAAAAGCTCTCGGTAGAAAGTGTTATACTGATGACATTTTTATGTGAGCAGGGTTAAGATCCTAAAGCTGTGCCTCAACATTCAATTTTGACTCTGTATGTCCAACAGTACATTTGAATTAAGCTCAATGAACAAATGAAGCCAAACGAAGACCCAACCAGACTTTCAGGATTAGTTAAAGGGCCTGATCAAAGAATTACTTCAACCATGGGGGAACTAAATCCAGTTTAATGCACAGTTGTGTGCTGTACATGTTTTGTGTCTTCAAAAATTAATCAGGTGTCTTATCTAGACTTAAATCCAAGTGTGACATTTGAAGCTTTATATGCAAGTAAAAAAGGACAAATTTGAGCTGCCAAAACAAAAAACAGTGAGCTCGGCAGCATAAAAAGGCCTGAACATCCAGAGAAGACAAGTTTTGTGGATGATCACAGGATCCTTTCTATGATAAAGAAAAAACCCCTTTTCAACATCCACTGAGGTAGGCAGTAATAGAATGTAATCTACCATAAAAAGAAAGACTTTACCAAAGAAAATACACCAGAAAGTGCAAATTATTCATCAGCCCTAAAAAGGGAAATGAAGAATGGTCATAATGAAAAGCATACAAACCTAGTGAAGGAGCTGTATTGCATGGTTTCAGGGACAGTATCCAATAGCAGTGGATCAATAGTATCCACTTGTATCAAGTCAACTTTACTATGTAGAAAAACTCTTTCTTCCGATGACCATGATAGCCAGCAGTAACCTTGCATGTTTTGTCTTTTATGGCACAAGAAACAAAGCATGCAAAGTTTCCCTAGAAGTGCCAACAGCTTTGAACCCGGGACTTTCTTGCTGTGACACCATCATACTCCTAGTTTTTATTAGTATTTTGTGTTTATTTTATTGCTTTTTTGGTGCTTTTATCAGCACAGAATTATAGAGCTTTATGAACGTACAATTGAAGCCACGCACAGTAGTTAAAGCACATGATTTCACCTTTACAAAAATTTCTTTTTCTCAAAATTGAAGCAGTCCTGTTAGTTTTCTGGGACAGGTGACTTATCGTACCTACAGTGCGCTGAGGTGCGACTGCAATAATTGCTCCTTGTGTCTTTCAACTAGCTCAGTTTGTCTCTAATGCTGGCTCAAATTTATGAAAGTGAATTCTTTCTTCTTTGATTGAGAAAACAGGACATTCAAAAAAAAAACACTTTTTTATTTCATTTTTAATGTATATACTTACTCAGACAGCTTCACTTTAAACTTACTCTTCAGTTCTACTGCCTACTCTGAGAGTAGTGCATATTCATGTGTCTCTCTTGTGTTGCTATCATGCCTTGTTTAAGTAAGGGCTGTGCAGCTTTCTCCTCCCTCCCCTCATTACATCATGACATCATCTGTCTCGTCAAGTCGTGCAAATTCACTCTGAACGTCCCATCGACCCTGCAGCATGGCCGCCGCAGTGATTATGACGCTTCACTCTCATCAGCAGAACCACATTTCATTCACACCTGTATGTTATTAAAATCAGTGTCTCCACACTTTGTACTTTGTGTAAATTTGGTAATACTTTTTATTTGAATACCATGAATACCGTAGTATCTTCTTAAAGAGTTGTCATTTGAAAACTCTGTTATCGTTTGTCGTTCAGGTTTAGATTTAAATTAATCTAGCACAGACTTCCCTCACCATTCTTATAAGAGAGGACTACACTGTCTGCTCTCCCAGCTGCTCCGATAAAGGCCCTCATTTAAAAAAATGTGGAACGTCTTTCCTGAGGGCTTGTGTCATTTGATTCATGAATGACTTTGAGCATAAAAAAGAACTTTGCCTAAGTAGGTTCTAAGAATCACATTTGTAACATAAGCATCTGAAATCAGTGATTATAATCAGCAATCTAAATGAATGTGCAATTTCCCCACAAACAGGTGTTGGTTAAGGAATGGAAAAGCAGACTGAAGCCAGGCATCTTGTGTTATTTTATGGATCAAATCGTGAATTGACAAAAAACAAACATGAAAGAGTTTGGACAGAAGCAGAGATGTATAAAGTTCAGAACACTTATGTGCCTTGAACTGCAATAGTCCTACATGATTTTTAAGAAACCCCTTTACATCAAGTTAGAGAAAATTTGCTCATCAGCCTAACATTTCAAGTTACTACTGAAATGTGTGGTTTTTGTGTTTACTTTAGATTTTTACTATGACTTTACTATCAGTCCATTTTAGAAAAGAGGCCCCAGCTCCTAAAGACAAATGGTAGAGTGGCATCTTTCGTTTTGGCTTACATACTTACTTGTCATGCCAATCAGTCAAAGTCAAAAGTCAAACAATGATATTTCCTCGACATATACCTTACCAGGCCTGTGATAGTGGAGATCCCTCATTTTGGCTCGATGCGGGGCCAGGAGAGAGAGCTGATCCTGCTGCGCAGTGAGAACGGAGAAACCTGGAAGGAGCATCTGTACGACTGCAAGACTGACGACCTCAATCAGCTCCTCAATGGCATGGACGAAGGTGAAAAAAGTGTTCTAACTTTGTTTCGCTATGCTAGCATCTGCAGCACTAAACACCTAAACCACAAGTACTTCAGTTTCTGTTTTAGAGCAAGCTGTGGTAAAAGTAAGCGCATTAATGAGCAAACACTGAAATAAACTGAAGCAACACCCTGATGATAACTGGCTCAAGCTGATTGGAGCGCGTGTAAAATATGTATGACAAACATGTTGATTTCTGTGCTGAATAATGAGATACTTGGCTTAATTTAGAGGAAATCCAAAAATAATTCACATGGAGTAAATGACCTGATTAAATTGCATAGAAATCAGATAAAACATCAAACGAGCTTGATCACAGACTACTTCTAGTACAGCGAACATACATTGGCAAATATTTCAAGATTTTAAGATCATTCTGGGATTTAATCTGAAAAATGCCTGTAAGTGTCTGTAAGTCTGTAAGTGCACATTTTTGTGATTACAGAATGTGATACTGAGGGACTGCGCTTGTGTTTGTAGACAGTGAAATAACTAAAGATTTTAAAGTTTACTCCATGAGGTCGTTTTTTTCCCTTTTTTCCCCCATTTCATTTATTTGATTTCTTTTCATTCCCTGTAGAACTGGACAGTCCCAACGAGCTGGAGAGGAAGAGAATCTGCCGCATTATCACCAAGGATTTCCCGCAATACTTTGCAGTAGTGTCTCGTATCAGACAAGAGACGCACCAGATGGGACCAGAGGGCGGGACTCTGTGCAGTCGCAGCGTCCCATTGGTTCAGGCTTCCTTTCCAGAGGGAGCACTAACCAAGAAAATCAAGGTTGGATTGCAGGTGAGTTTGAGAGATGTAAACATTTGCTTTTTCAGTTTAACTGCAAGAGTTTATGATGTATAGACAAAATCACACACAGTACTATATATGTACAGTAAGGCTACAAAAATAAAACAACAAAATCCTCCTTCCCTGTTGGCTCTGCTATCCCAGGCTCAGCCGGTACCTGATGAGGCCGTGAAGAAAATCCTTGGTAATCGAGCAACCTTCAGCCCCATTGTTACTGTGGAGCCAAGAAGAAGGAAGTTCCATAAACCAATCACCATGACAATCCCAGTCCCGCCCCTCTCAGGGGAGGGGCTTACAAATGGCTACAAAGGAGACTATACTCCCTCCCTGCGCCTTCTCTGTAGCATCACAGGTATATGTGTTTTTTAGATGCCAAGAGAAGAAATATTTGAAAGTAACAACATTTGGGCCAGTCAGCATTTCTCCTGAAATAATGTTTCTTTATTGTTAATGAGAATTATTACACAAAATCGTGTCTTTGTTGTTTGAATTAGATATTTCCATTTAAAAACATTGTAGAACAGGACATTGCTTCATTACTTTACATTCTTGTCGATTAAAATTAGTGTAATAATTCTGGTCTGTGACCTGTTTTAAGTAAGTAAGGCCCATTCCTTCCTTCCTTACTACTTTTAACATGAAAATGCTACACAATGCTTAAACTTGGTGACAACCACCCTTTTAAATTCTGACCTAACTAGCAAAGCCACATGTGCTAACTGTAACTCTGAAATATCTCAGCCATGAACAACCCGTGGTAAATGTTTAGTCGGTGGCTGCTAGAGCAAACAAGACTCTCCGATCTGATATTTGTAATATTAGATATGCAAATGTATATTTGTAATATAAGTGCAATGTAAAACTCACAGTGAGAATGAACATTTCTGTGAAATGTTAAACTTTTGAGATCAACATCATATTTCACATTTTTCTAACAAAAAGTGAATGAATAGCATTTAGGTAATTATCCAGTACTTTAATAACATTTGCATCTTACATGTCTTAAAGCATGTCAAGTTGAAAGTGGAATAGACATAAAGAAGCCTGATTTTTCCTAAACTTTATCTGGATAATTATCTGCCAGGTGGTACATCACCAGCACAGTGGGAAGACATCACAGGCACAACTCCTCTCACCTTTGTGAATGACTGCGTCTCCTTCACCACTAATGTTTCTGCCAGGTGAGATCAATTTTTCAAGTCATACGTTTATATTTATGCATATATTAATCTCTGTCTTAAACACTGATCACTTTACTTGCTTCTTGTGCAGGTTCTGGTTAGCAGACTGCCACCAGATACCAGAGACGGTGGGCCTGGCCACACAGCTCTACAGGGAGCTGATCTGTGTGCCCTACATGGCCAAGTTTGTGGTGTTTGCTAAGATGAATGACCCAGTGGAGTCCAGCCTGAGGTGCTTCTGTATGACGGATGACAAGGTGGATAAAACCCTGGAGCAGCAGGAGAACTTTGAGGAGGTGGCCAGAAGCAAAGACATAGAGGTATGAGGGTTAAGTGAAGTAAATACAACTGATGTTACTTTTACTTTCATTATTCCCCAAGTCCTATCAAGTATAACTCGTAGTACAGTTTAGTCTATTATGGAATATTTTGTCATCTGTAAATTTATACTTTTTGGAACGTATCAATGATTATGATGAAAGCATTATAATTATTCTGTGAGGTTATTATAATGCTCTGGATCTACACACATGTCTAGAGCATTAGGAAAATTAGAAAGAAAATGGAAAATGCTGCTGAGGGTGGTGATAAGGACAACATAATCGAATAAAAGAAAATGAATAAAGTTAAGAAATGAAGGAATTTAATAGTTTGATCAACTGGAAGAAAATAAGATTTAATTTTGCACTCCTTAGTTAACTAAAATAAATGTATATTTATTGCTGCATTAGGGTTTTGAAACGTTTGACAGCGTGCAATCAGTTTCGGTGCTTAACACTTTATCACAGAAGCATTTCTTTATCTCTATTCTTGTAAATTTGTTTTATATTTTTATGTTAACTATGAATGCTGTTTGTTTTATTCAGGTTCTGGAGGGCCGGCCTATATATGTGGATTGTTATGGGAACTTGGCTCCCCTGACCAAAGCTGGTCAGCAGTTAGTTCTTAACTTCTACGCCTTCAAGGAGAACCGTCTGCCTTTCTGCGTCAAGGTACCTTAACATGTGCTCCAGCACCACCAGCACCTTTTGGCTAGGCTAGAATACAATGTTGGCTTAGTGCAGTCCAAATACAGGGTAAAAGCTGCAGTAATGGTTAAGTTAGTTCTATTGTTGTTTACTGCCTTTACTGCTCTTATTCATATTCAAAACCCAGTTCCTATTCTCTGGCTAAAGTCGTTAAATTAATCATTCTTCTTGTGTCATTTTGCACATCATTAATGTTAAAACTACACTTCTGTGTTAATTATTTTACCACATCACTGTAACAAAAATGAACAGTACTAAATCAGAAAAGTGTGACTATTTTTTATGTTACACTCAATTTCTTAGCATCTTTCCTCCATCTGATGTAACATGGTTTCAATCGGTGGTGTAGATGAAGCAGGTGGACAGGTGAACAAAGGTGATGCGACCATGATAAGGTGGAGATAAAGGTCACATGAATGAAATGAGTTGAAAGCAGAATGACAGATGAGCACTGAGATTTAAAGGGCACAAACTGAGGCGGATTGGCTCATAAAAAGCAGATGTAAAAATAAAAATTGAGAAACAAAATTGTTGGAAAGTTGAAGCGAAGCCCAAACACCCAGGAATAGTGAATACAAATCTTTTTTTACTGAATTTATGAATAAGCTTTCATGAGTTTGGTTAAAATTTCTTGTGTTGGCATATCCATTAGACTTCCAGGGGTCAATCCTGGAAGGCTACTGGTGAACCTTTTTTCCTCTTATAAAAGCACCATAACGGATGAGAATTTGGTCAGGTGGAAGTATATTGACCAAATGTTGATTACCTATAAAGTCTGTGGAAAGATGCAAATCAAGGAAAATTCACATGAATTTCCACCAGTTGACACAAAAAGACAGACAGACCCACAGACCATGGACCATCCCGATCCCCATTTCTACTCCTCCTCCCATTGGATGTGAACATTTTGTGTATTTAATTACGTGTTTTTGTGAAAATAAAATGATAAGATTCCTTTATAAGGTGTTCTAGGTGCATACAAGGTAAAAATGGGCAATTTTGGCCTGTTTGTAGATAGTTTCTAGGCATAAAGGCAAATAAAGTATATACCACTAATACCCTAGTGCTGATAAAAAAAAATGTATATATATTTATATTAAAGTAAATCTGCAGTAACTACCACATTGTAAAAGTAAGGAGTTCAAAAAGAACCATTTTCTCACTGTAGGTCAGAGATCCCAGTCAAGAGCCGTGTGGTCGTCTCACTTTCCTGAAAGAATGTAAGATCATGAAAGGCCTTCCACAAACTGCCGTGTGCAACCTGAACATCACGCTTCCCGCAGTGAAAAAGGTAAGGTAGCATACACCCACCATTCTCTGTTGTCACATCCATAACCATTTTCATGGTTAGGGTAGTTTCAGCCCCGGATAGATGAAAGACAGAAAGACTTTGGCCAAATTGCCGCCACTGTGTCTTTTATCTGTTTAAAGCTTCTCTCTGTGTATATCGGTTACATCTACAGTGGATTCTTGTCATTGGCTGTTTCATTTTGTTCCTACTCGCCTTTTGATTTGGATGCTTTTTGGCTGAGGGCTTGTGTGCAATGGTTTTTAGTTATCAGGCTGGCTTTTCGTGGCTTCATTTTGCTGCTGAATGTTGGCGCTTTATGCTCTTTTTTTTTTTTGTTTGGTCTGTTTTTATTTTTTGGGTTTTTGCTTTTTCCTTTGCTTAAGTGGCTCTCTTCTGAGTTGGAGCTTCTGTCAATCACTCCTTTTTCACCCCCTGTTTCTTTTCCCCCTGCTTTCCATTATGTTACTCCCCCTGTTCCTGCAATGCATCTTGGGAACCAGGAAACGGAGTCAGATGCCGAGGATGAGGTAAACCACACCCTCCCCACCCTGTGTTGTCCTCTGCGCTAGACCTATAGTGGCCCTGCTCTGCTCTCCATAGCCTTATTTTTTCCGCTTCTATAAGGGCATTACAGGCTTTTTCAAAGCAACTTTTAGCTGCTCAGTTTTGCATGATATATGATAGAAATGAAAAACTACTTGTCTTGTGTCCACTCCTTATCCCTTGCGTTCTATAGTATGTGATACAAATGGCTCTAGAGTTTACTTGTTCTTAAGATTTAGCATGTATTAACACTAGCTCCAAACTCATTATTTTCATTTTTAAGTACATGCAGTAGATAGTTTGTAGGCTTAGCTTGACAAACTCAAGCTAAAAGACTAGCTTGGCACATTTAATCTAAATAGTATTAGCACTTCCTAAATAGAAGATTAAAACCTCTTGAATACTCTTTAAGGAGTTGTTGGTGGTGCCATATTTTGCAGTCATATATGGGCTTTGTATTTAATGTCAGTGCAGACTGAAGGGTTTGCTTTAATTTGACATTGCAAGGTCCAGTTGTTGCTCATTTGGCAGCAATAGTCAATGTAGGGTGACCTAGAACTGATAGGTTTTTGTGTTGTTTGCTATTGTTGCAGACTGAAAAGCCAGATCGACAACGTCATACCTTTGCATCCCTAGCCTTACGTAAGCGCTACAGCTATCTGGCCGAGCCTGCACTGAGTGAGTTTGACATCTTCACTAACAAACCCTGTAATGAATTTAATTATGCCAAGTTTCGTGGATAAGTTAGTTAATTAACAGCTTTAATTAACCTGTAAAATACGTAATCGATATGTAGATCGGTGTGACTTATTTAATGTGCAAATGCATTATTTCTCATCCTACATGACACGCACTGTCCACATGCTTGTTTACAAAGTGGTATATATTTTTGCATGGGTCAGTAAGTGGTTTTGAGTTTCTGTTCCATGCTTGCCCACATTGTGAGTTGTTGTTCTTCTGGGTTGATTTCCACTGCTGTGTTATACAAGTCAATTTTTTTCTTTGACTTACCAGCACCATGGTAATAGGCATTTTGGATGGAGGTCAAAGTAAAAAAATTTCTGTATTTCTTTTGTCCCCTCTGAGTTTAAAGCTCTTTTTGGCTTTGTGATGAAGTAGCAGTTTTGTGTGGGACAAAAATGCATGTCAGAGGTCTTGAGTTTGGCTTTCTTTCAGTTGTTTATTTTAAGTTTTACCACAGTCTTTGCTTGTCACCAATTTGATGCTGCATGACAAAATGGGCCAAAACTTTAGTCTTGGAAAACACATTTTGTCATATTTGTTTTAAGAGAAAATGAAAATGGAACCTTCAACAGCCATTGGCTCTGTTGGATCACAGTTTCTAAATTGTCTGAGGAATCTGTCATCATGTACTTTTTGGACCAAACAGATAAAAGGCACTTAAAAAAGCGGATTGAAATTAGAGCCAGTACCCAAATGTTGATATTAGAGTTTCTAAAGTCCAAAGAGAGAAGTTGTTTTTGTGCTTATCCTGGTGCATTTGTCTTGCCATTTTTTCTGTTGTCAGTTGTTGGTCTACGCCATTGTCTTTGGAAATTTACTTTGCTGCTGTGTGTGCTCTCTTCTGTTTATTTCTTCTGTTGTTTTTGCTGTTTTTTGATTCATCTGCCAAACAGAAATCACACAGGAACACGACTGTTTTTTTTTTTACGCCATCTTTAGTCTGTAATTAAATTTCTTACCTCATGTAACTGTTATTGTTCCTTATTTAATACTAGGACTGTTTTACTGACCAACTCTTCCTCCTCTGATCTCCTCTTCTTTCACATTTTTTTCTCCTTTACCTTCCCCAACATGATTTTCTGTTTATCTTTACTGTTCTGCATTTTTGTTGTTATTTTTTTGCCATTCCTTCTTCATCATTGTTTCTATGAATTCACCTGAAGAAACAGCAGTTGAACGAAGCGCAGCAACAAGAGCATTGCCTGCTGGTTACCCTCACAAACCTATCTTTCCAACCAGACCTTGCCCACCATGGTCGACTGCTCCTATTACCGTCCCTGGCCAAACAAGGCCCGTCGGAATGGGGGGTGCCCTCATCTCTACCGATTCACCGGCAGCCTCACCAGCTGCTTCTCCACTGAAATCTACTTGGCCCCTCTCAGCCCCATCAGCTGCATGTCCCACAACTATAAAAGTTCCACCAGCGCTTACCCTGTCATCCCCAGTCAAATCTGCCAGTGACATAGCGTCCTCATCCCCCATCCGTTCTTACAGGACTATGCCCTCACCCATTAAAACTGTAGTCCAGCAGGGTCAGTACCCTGTCCAGGGATCTACCAGCCTTGTGTCCTCTGGAAGTCCATGCAAACCTGCCACTGATCCAGCTTCTATCAAAAGTCTTGCTTCAGCATATACATCAAGGACTTCTCCACTTCACTCAATGCCCAATGGTTATATACCAGAAAGGTCTCCAGCTCCTGTTCCTTCTACAGCATCACCAAAGACATCGTACAGCATGTACAGTTCTAATCTACCTTTTAAAACTGCCCTTGGGTCCACAGTTGTGACAGATGCAGGGGCGCATACCCTGTCTTCTGTTAAAAGCATCTCCAGTCTGTCCTCTTTGAAAACCTCTGTAGACTCAACACTCTCATCCCGTGGAGGGAGGACATCCATCTCATCTCTCTCTTCCACTGGCCAAACAACCATTGCTTCTTCAGAATTGTCCATGATGAATGGATCTGTCTCACCTGTAAAATATCCATCCTCTTCGTCCACTCCATCCTCCCCTTCTTCACGCCTTATTTCAGAGAGAAGTAGCAGCCTTCAAGAGAGGATCCAGGCCACCACCCAGGCAGCAACCTCTGGTGTCAGCGCAGCCATAAATGAGGCTATAGACTCGTACTCTGTCTCAGGCTACGGTACTCTTAAGTCACTGTCGTCCTCGCGTAGATCTGCAACAGCAAGCTCTGCTTATGGTTCTCTGAGATCTGTAGCTGCCTCCCCAAACACGGCAGTTTCGTCTAATACAATGACTGTGCCTGTCTATTCACTGGTTAATGTCATCCCAGAGACCCCTGCCAAACCAGGACCTGGGTCTCTTAAGATGGCTCTTCCCGACTCCTCTCGCACCTCATCATCTCTATCTCTATCTTCTTCTTTGTCTTCCTGTGTTACTACAACAAAAATAAATTCCCAGTTAAAATCCCCTCCATTTATCACACCACCCATCATCCACCCGACTGCAGCTTCTAACCAGGAGATATTGAAAGATGTAGCAGACATGAAACAAGATCTGATTAGGATGACAGCTATTCTGCAGACAGACACACAGACTGCAGCTAAAACTGTCCAAACTTCACATACTGGCACTCCCAAAGAGACTAAGTTAGAGGAAGAGGAGCCATATACTCTGGTGGAGAAAGTAAAAGAAGATTTAGTCAAAGTCAGTGAGATATTACAGAAAGATATCATTAGTGAAGCTAAAGAAAGAGCCTCAGAGGACGAATGGGAAGAATTTTCCAAAGATGAGATTGAAGAGGCACAAAGAAGTGCCATCTCAGACTATTACCCTCCTTTTGATGAACACACACTTTTACTTAAGCACCAGTCAAGCAAAGAGTTAGACTTGGCTAAAGTAGTAGACTTTTTAACAAATGATATCGGTGCTAGCTCTCTCTCAAAAATGGCAGAGCTGAAATGTAAGTATGAGGAAGAGGCAAAAAGAGATGGGGAAGAGAAACAGAAACGTGTTCTCAAGCCATCCATGTCAATACAGGAGCACAAACTCAAAATGCCTCCGCCAGTTTCAGGCATGCTCAGATCTCCCTCAGAGAAGGACCTAAGCAAACTTGCTGAGTCATATCAAGGGTCGGACACTATATTGGAATCGCCAGAGGATCTGTCTCATGAGCAGGATAAGAGTCCTCTGTCAGACAGTGGGTTTGAGACCAGGAGTGAAAAGACACCCTCTGCTCCCCAAAGTGCAGAGAGCACAGGACCTAAGCCTTTATTCACAGATTCCCCTATCCCCCCCTGCGTAACAGAGACCAGGACTGAAGTAGTCCATATTAGGAGCTATGAGCAGCCTGATGAGCTTTGTGAGCCTGGACTAATGGAAGAGGCTGCAACTGCTCTCCCTGCCATAGAACCACCTGAAGCAATTTCAGCAAGCTCCAGCAAAGCCCTACAGATGAAAATGCCTGAAGATGACTCAATGAAAAGCATGTGTCTTAAAGAGGAAACCCACATTACTACTACTACCAGAATGGTCTATCATAAGCCCCAACTGACTGATGGTGCAGAGATGATAGAGGAGGCAATGTCAGTTAGAGATATCATGAAAGCTTTCCAGTCAGGTAGGGATCCATCTAAAGATTTCGCAGGCCTTTTTGAACACAAAGCTAGCCAGGATTCTGTCAAAGGTGATGAGCTCACGCCTAGATTTCTTGACAGAGATGTTAAATCCAAACCCAAAGTTGAAAGGATAATTGAGGTTCATATTGAGAAGGGCCACAGCACTGCAGAACCGACTGAGGTCATTATCAGGGAAACCAAGAAACACCCCGAGCTTTATGTTTACAAAGGTGATCGGGGGATAAAGGAACTGACTGATTATGATGAAGCCCAACAAGAAGAAGAGGAGCTTGCTGTTGAAGAATCCCTGCCCACCTTTCTGGAAACATCTCGTGTTAATACGCCGGTGTCACAGGAAGAAGACAGTCGTCCGAGTTCTGCTCAACTCATAGCAGATGATTCATATAAAGCACTTAAATTGTTGAGCCAGCAGTCCATAGAATACTGTGATGATGAGCTATCAGAGATCCGAGGCGAGTCGTACAGGTTTGCTGAGAAAATGCTTCTCTCTGAAAAACTTGATGCGGCATCACTGAGCCACTCTGACACAGAGGATTCAGCACTGGTTTGTGACAAAATCCGCCACCTGGGTACTGAAGAAAGTAGTAGCCGTAGCACTGAGGGTGCAAGTCAACAGCAAGGAAGCCCCAAAAGAGAGTTTGTCTCAAAGTCATCAAAAGATGGGTCTCCTAAATCTGCTAAATTCCTGCACAGGGATGATCCATCTCAGTTTGATAAGGTAACAGTGCTCCATTACTCCACAGAACAGGGCAGCCCTAAACATGCAGTTTGGATGCGTTTTACAGAGGATAAACATGACAGGAGCAGGGATAAGTTACTTTATGAGGATAGGGTGGACCAAACTGTAAAGGAAGCTGAAGAAAAACTCAGTGAGGTCTCACAGTTCTTCCGTGATAAAACGGAAAAGCTCAATGATGAGCTTCAGTCTCCTGAGAAAAAGCCTATAAAGCGAGAGCTCAAGGATCCCAGGTCCTGGCCTAGCTCACCCAGCAGCAGCCCAGAGAAAACCCAGCAGAAACCCAAAGCAGAAGAGGTGTTCAGTAAAAGCAAACTCAGGGAGCCTTCAGTTGGTAAAATGTTTGGCAGCACCACAGCAGCTGAAAAGAAAAGCTCTAGTCTACCAAGCAGCCCACAGAAAACTGTTCTCTCTCATACTAGTGAGGATAAAATCAAACAACAGACAAAGTCCTGTGTGTCTGAACCCTCCTCTCCTGCTCATGTAAAATCAACATCCAAAGTGAGTGAAGTGAGAAAGAAGTTTGAATCGGAGGCTCAAAAAGTTAGTCAAAATCAGTCTAGTCCAGCCAAAATTCCTCCTCCAGTACAGCCAAAACCGTCAATAAAGAAATTGCAGGAGAGCAAACTTCCCGTTTATCAGTTTTTTGCAGGAGGAAAAGTGTCAAAAGCATCTGAAACTTCAGAAGAAGTAAGCCCAAAAATGGATGCTGAGAAGGACACAAATGGAAGTAAACCTGGTTTGATATCAGCATGCCCAAAAGTCCCCAAACTAGACAAGCCACCTAACAAAAACATCCCAGATGCCTCTGTACAAATCAGTGAAACAAAGACAGACAAAGTAGGCACTAAAGGGAAGGCTAGTCCATCCAGTGCAACTCAGGCAATTAAAGAAAGCAAAAGTCAGAAAGCTCAATCACCTATAATTCCTGACAGTGCCAAAATTCCAGAAAAAGCCACTGACAGTAAAAAATACCAACAAGTTACAAAAAGTGAAAGTGCTTCCAAAGAAATTATAACTGAGCTATTCAAAAAGGATGCAGAGGAAACACTAAATAAAAATCTTAGAAAAAAGACAGAATCTCAAATTCCTGTTAGAAATACATCCCTCTCTTTAGATAATGACCTCACTAAGAAACCAACAATAACTAGACCCTCACAGATACCAACACTACCTAAAACCAAAGTACAAAGTCATGAGACAGTCCTAGCCAAAACAGATCTAACCTTTGAAATTCTTGATAATGCACCCAAAGATTCAAATTCCAATAACCTTCCTAGCCCCATAGAAATGTTGGAGAAAGCCATTACACCTCCAGCTGCTACAACAACCAGAGAGAACTTCAAAGGCATAAAAACATTACCTGTTTATGTTGGTGTTCAGGTGGGTAGACAGGCAGAGAGGGAAGCTAAAGGAGCACTGTACAATGTCAAACAAAAATCAAACTTAGCCCTAAGCCCCATAAGCCCAGATGATGACACACTAGAGCAGGTTTCTTTCATTGACAGCTCGGGAAAAAGTCCCATTACACCAGAGACTCCCAGCTCGGAGGAGGTCAGCTATGATCTCACATGCAGGACCCCTGATGGCTTTATGGGATTCTTGCCAGGGAAACCAAGCCCCATCATGGAGGTATCTGAGGAATCAGAGGGAGATGACCAAGGCAAGGTTTTCTCTTTTAAAGAGGCCCTACCAGAAAGTAAAACCAGTCTTTACTCTACCCAAGCAGACATAGCTAATGCCAATAAGGAAGAAATAAAAACTGATAATCAACACGAGTTGAGCGTCAGCAATTTAAACCAACATGAAAGAGTCACTGGCATGCATGACGAAATAACAGGACAGGAGAAGCAACAAGCATCAAAAGACAAAGGTATTGCATATATTGAGTTCCCTCCCCCTCCTCCTCTGGACTCAAGTTCAGAAATGTCAGACCCAGAGAGAAAAGGTTCCTGTGCTTCTTCCGAGACTGAGACGGAAATGATGGAGGTGAATTTGCAGGAAGAACATGACAAGCATTTCCTGATCGAGCCAATTATACGAATACAGCCCCCATCCCCAGTGCCCCCTGGGGCAGATGACAGTCAGTCAAATGCTGATGAAGAGGATGATGAATCAATCTTCCAACCCATTCCTTGCAAGAAATTCACTTCTAAAGTTGCTGAGGAGGAGGACAAAAAGAAAGAGAAGGAAAAGGCATCTAAATCCAAAAAACATGACAAAAATGGAAATGGGCCCAATGGTGGCACCAATGGCACTAATGGTTCTAGTAATGGTTCAAAAGTTTCAAATGGCAAAGGAGAGGACTATGAATGTGAACAAAATGGAAATGACCAGTCAATTACAGACTGTTCAATTGCTACCACGGCTGAATTTTCTCATGACACTGATGCGACAGAAATAGACTCCCTCGATGGATATGAACTCCAAGATGAGGATGATGGCCTGTGTGAGCAGGCAGACTTACGGCTGTTTGGTCTTCCAGACAGCCGGAGAGATGTCTGGGCAACAGATACATTTAGGTCCTCTGATCGCTCTTTTCCCCAGACTAAACTGGAGGTTATTGAAGAGGAAAAAACCCCAGAGGAATGTCAAAAGGATATTATTGGCAAAGAGATACCCTCAAATGGTGGAAAGACTGATGGTGTTAGTAAAGATGGAGCTACAAGTCAGGAACAAAAACATTCAGATAAAGAGGGGTTTTCAGACACTTACTTTAGTTATAAGATAGAAGAGGAGTTTAATTCTCCTTTTAAGACTGTTGCCACCAAAGGGCTGGACTTTGACCCTTGGCCCAGTAAAGGTGGAGAAGAAGTCGTTGATATGGGAGGGACACGGGGCAACAATGGTGAGCCTAAGCCTTTTGGACTGGCAGTTGACGACCAGTCCCAGGCCACAACACCAGACACTACCCCAGCCCGAACTCCAACGGATGATAGCACGCCGACGAGCGAGCCAAATCCATTCCCCTTCCATGAAGGGAAGATGTTTGAGATGACACGCAGTGGCGCGATTGACATGAGCAAGAGGGACATGGTGGAGGAGAGGCTCCAGTTTTTTCAGATTGGTGAGCATTATTACGCAGCGGGCAGGTACAGGGTCAGGGACACTGAAGTAGATGGGAGGGAGCAGTTTTATATTCAGGAACCCACAAATACCTTCTCAGTCCCCCATGTACCCATTCAGACTACTACTGTCCAACTAGAAATATCAAATCAGGCTAGCAGTTATAGCACATGCACAAACTCATCCTGTAACACCAAGCCTAAATTCTCCACTTTTAGAACTGAATTCAACCTGTCATCTGATAAAACATCCAGTGCCTCAAATAGCACTGCTAAAAGTGGAACAGCAAGCACCTTTGATCATTGTAAAGACAAAACCTCAGGGGCAAATGTAGATAGTTTTTACCATGTAACATCAAATTACACAGATTATTTTAATTTTTGTGCATCAAACATTACTCCAGATAAGTCGAAACAGACGAATAATTTGGCATGTACCTCGGAGTTTCAAAACACAGTTTACCAAAGCACAGATTATTCTTCTGCACCTTCGCAACAGATTAGAAGTTTGCAAACATCGAGCGACAATATCAGTAGCAATATCCCCGAGTACCATTCAGATGTCTTTCAGACTGGCAGTGTCATGTACAATGTATTGTCGTCTTTAAGATCCACTCTGCAAGAGGTCAGCAGGATCGAAGCTTCCTTCAGCCAGTTAGATGAAAGCAGAAGTGAAGGCAGGGGTTTTTCTAATGTAGCAATAATAAACACTGAAGCCAAAAAGGTCAAAAGCCAGATATTGAAGTCCAGGTTACCGCTGAGGGTACCCTGCCAAAAACTATGCAGTCATAGTCAGCCAGTAACGAAAGACAAGTCACAAAAAAATGATAAAGTCCTACTTAGGAAACATGGACTACTTAAAATCAGGGAACGATTAGATCCTTTTAAGACTTTATTACCAAGGTCGAAAATTCCAGTATTAAAAGCCATTAAATACCCTTCTTATTTGCAAGAGCAGAAGCAGGTCAGTACTAAATCTACAGTTAGGGGTAGGAGCAATAACTCTGCCAGGGATGGTAAGCAGCTAACTAAAAGCAAACCCATTTTGATAAAAACCGCCAGTAGAAGTACAACAAAAGAGATGGGGAAAAAGAACAGCTCAGTGTCAAAATGTTTTAAAGCAAAGTCTGTCAGTAGCCAGATAGTCAAGTCTTTGGACAAAACCATTTCCAAGGAGGCTGAAGCAAAGTTAGAGGGGAAAACACTGCCCACTGAGGACGAAGAGAGCTGCAGCCTCAGCATTACCAGGAACACTTCCTTGTCACAACCATCTAGAGCTTCTAGAAGTTCCTGCCCTTCACGCACCTCTACCTCCACCTCCACCAGCACCACTACATCAACATCATCTCCTATAGATGTGAGAGCTGAGGTTGAGCAGGCCAGCAGTGAGAGGATGAGGAGGAGCATGAGGAAAAGTAGGCGGACACTTGGAGGGAAGGAGCAAGAGCAGAAGGAGGAAGGGAGTCAGGTTGATCAACCAATCCCCGCTCCTGTCACGGAGAACGAGACTAGTTTGTAAACTCTTTCTAAAAACTTGTTATACTTTACCCTTCTCTCTATGAGATGCATGCAGCTGTTGTGGGTGCTTGTGATGTGACTTTGTAATGTAGCCGTCATTTCTTCTTCCTGTCATTCTTTTTATGTGTCCTGTGCTGTCTGATTTGTTCAGATAGAGGCTACAACATGGAGAATCTGTCGGTAGAGCAGAAGACTTTCACATAATTTAAGGTTTTAGTTATTTTAGGAAACAGGATATCACTTAATAACATCATAGAAGTACTGTTCTGGTGGACAGAGCTTTATAAAAGCGAGGTCTTTGGATAGAAACCGGTACAAGCAATTAAATTTCAGTATCAGGAAGCACCTTTTAGTTGTCATAAATGGTTGCAAAAGCACCTCTGGGAGGCTAAGTTTGTGAGTGTACATTTCTTTCACAATAAGACAAAGTTAGCTTTCCACCTACCCACATGACACAACACCACAGCACTCACCTCCACTCTAGATGTGTCTGAGATCTAGACTGCTTTGGGGAAATATGAAGGTGTGTTTGTTTTGATCTGCTTGCCTGGTTTGTAGATATGTTTGGTGGTACTTTTGCTCTGTGAAATCACTGTGAAAACAATACATCGGCTGAACTTGACAATCACTTGAATGACAGCTACACAAGGGCATGTCAGTGTAGTCAGCCACTGGCACTTTGTCGTAGCTAGATTGCTTTTGATTTCAAGTTTAAGCTATGAATTTTCTTTTTATCAGTGAGTGGGAATGTTGCTTGATGGTAGATTGTTTGTGGTTAGTTATGTGATACTCTGAACTCTAATTACAGAAACTAATACTACTAAATATCAAACTTATTAGTGTAAAAATGTCATTGACGATTTTTCTGGCCTCACAGATTCTCAAATCTTTGATTCCCCTTGATGTTATCAGCCACCCGTAAGCCTAAAAGTAGTTAATATAATGATTCCGTTACATTAAGACCTAATATTTAGCACACTGAACTAAAGAAAATAGATTTAATATAAAAGAACAGGTCTGCAAAGTATTGTCAGTGTGGAAGGGCTTGACACCTGCATTTCTTCTAATGGCCAGCAAGGAGCGTCTTCTGTCCTCGCAGAAAATAAATTTGATTGGTTCAAAGTTGAATTTGCCTCAATGCACTTTGCATAGTAAGGTAAAGACTCTACAGCAATACAGAGAAAATCCCAACAATCAGCCGACCCCCTATGAAAAAGCATTTGGCAACAGTGGGAAGGTAAAACTCCCTTTTGCCAGAAAGAAACCTCAGAGTAGAAGCAGGCTCAGTGAGGAGGAGCCATCTGCCACGACGGGTTGGAATGAAGGGTGCATCTAATTGGTCAGTTGTCATATTTTAAAGAACTGATCAAAATGTAATCAATTAATGCTTCATTATAGTTGTACGTTTTAATACTTCTTTTTAAATGTAGATATCATTAGAGTTACTTCTTTTAATGGTTGCATAATCAAAACTGTGCAAATGTTTCCCATCCCTGGGTACAGATGATGTGGAGGCCCACACAAGGTCTGGAAATGAAATGAAAAAGCTGTAGAATATAGCCCTTAAAACATCTCATTGGAGAGCTTCAGCAATTGTGGTAGGTTTTGTGTTAAGCTAAGTAAACCATGGACTTTGAGTAAATTAATACCAAACAGACAGATAGTATTGGATTCCTTCTCATCCAGTTTTCATCAAAAGAGCAGAAAAAATCCTAAATAAGCATTTAGTTTCTTAACAGAACGTTGAGGTTTGTCAGGCCAGAAAATCTCTTTTTTGCTTATAAGTGGGACATGGGACAGTGAGCTAAAGTTGGTCTTTCTTTGTTTGGTTTAATATAAACACTGCATTAAAAACAAATGTTCATTAAGTAGTTATTTAGCAGGTTACATCAAGGTGAAAGGTCCAAAACAGACAAACTTAAAGTTCACAATCCCAATCTGTTTCTTTCATTACATTCTCTGAGTCTCTGTGTGTGTCTCTCACTGAGAACCACATGTGATTCATTTGGAAATTTCTGTCATTACATAACACTAACTGTTTGTACCCTACCCTTCCTTGCTTCCTCGCACAGGCCCTCACAGTCCCTGTGAGAGAACAGACCTCCGCATGGCGATAGTAGCTGACCACCTTGGACTCAGTTGGACTGGTGAGTCTGAACACATCTCCGTTTTTTGTTTGTTTGTTTGTTTACTTTCACATTTTGTAAAAATTAAGTCAAACAGAACCACAAAGTGATGTAAGAAAAATGATTATCATAAAATGTGAGAATTTTTAAGGCTGAAGGAACGATCTGGACTGAAACGGACTGTCAGTTTTTAAGGGTTTGTTGCCACCTGGTGGACGTATACTGTAAAAATGTCTCAACTGAGCAGTACTGCAGTGATATTTATAGCCACATAATACTACAGCATCATCGGTACATAGCATATAACAAAAAATAACTAAATAAATTCCCATGTTTGGATGTTTTTCAAATTTTGAAGATACTTAACTGCTGAATACATGTAGGAGATACTAGGATTTGAAACAGTGAAGAAAATATATAAAGCAATAAAAGCTTCATTGATTTTAAGGAGCATAAAGCTTTGATACATCTTTATATTTGAGTGTATCTTTAGAGGAATAGCAGGTGTATATTTTACTTGAGCAGCGATTAGGGCGTGGCCCCTGCGGCCGCCTGCACTGCAGCACTTTCCCCACGCCTACCAGCATTTGTACGACTGGCTGTGAATGCACTGCAAACGTATGTCCGCTGAATGAGTGCCCAGCTGAGAGAAGGAATCTAATCCATATTTAATGTGTGTTCCAATTGCAGAGCTGCAGTGAACCATCAGACCTGCTGAACATTAGTTTCTCGTGGGTTTAGATTTAGAGTCGTAATTCTAGTCCTTCATTAGCTGCAGACTGTGTCTGACACATTGTTTGGCAGTAATTCATTTCGGTGCTGCAGTTTAATCAGTGCATCAGCACATCCCTCACCTCCTGCTTTGTAGGCAATCAAGTGTAACCTGTAACATGGGCCCAGATCAGATGTAAGTGGTGCAAACATGAAAACTAATTCAAAATGCCACTTTCGCCACACGCATTTTCTAGCTAAATACTGTTGCTGCATTTGTTTTTGCATTTCTACACATTTCCCTTTGTTAGGCATGATACTGTCAGATTTATCAACTGGAGAGCAATCTCTATAAACAGATATCTTCATATGAACATGCCAGATCTGGAAGCTAGGGACACGTTTTCTGTCTGCTTTCTGTTTGTAGTATGAGTTCTAGTCACGTTTGAGCAGGCTTTGGCATGCATGCCAGTAAATAGTGATAAAGTGAAATGATCAGCTATCACAATGATTTAACTTTACAAAAAAGAAGGAAGCGATGCATAGCACTGATGGCATCAGGTGCAGCAAAACTGCAGAGCAACAGAAGCACACCACCCACATTCATACCACAGGTGTAAATGCTGGGAATGGCAGTGGCATCATGCTTGCAGGCAGTTCTCCAGAAAGCCAACAACATGTTGTGTCAGCTTGACATGGATGATGTTGTGCGTAGCTTGAATGCTGACTGGTTAAAAAGAGGGAACAAGAAAGAGAGCAATAGCTCAATTTAAAAAAAAAAAAAAAAGATAATTAATGGCACTCAACATCCTCAACATGTTTGAATTTCTCTCATGGGAATGGGTGGCTGAAAGATCAGATAAAACAAAACATGTAACTTTGGTGGTCAATAATGGCGCTGCAGAAATGTCCTGTTGTGGAACTCCAGCCCTGCAATTCAGCTATCTATATGCTGCTGTTACAGAGCTGGCCAGGGAGCTGGATTTCTCTGTGGATGAGATCAACTTGATCAGAGTGGAAAACCCCAATTCCCTGACGGCACAGAGCTTCATGCTCCTAAAGAAATGGGTGCACAGGGACGGTAAAAATGCCACAAGTAAGTACAGAAGTAGATATGGCTGCTGTATTTCATACTCATATGTATTTCAGTTGCTGGTTTATGATAAAACGAATCAATAAAAGGACATTATCAATGTTTGCGATGCCACAACATCACCTTATGAAGCAATTCCTGTCTCTCTCCTCCCCAGCGGATGCTTTAACCGCGGTGCTGACTAAGATCAATCGGTTGGATATTGTGACTTTGCTGGAAGGGCCCATATTTGACTACGGTAACATTTCAGGCACACGCTGCTTTGCCGATGATAACGCAGTATTCCCGGATCAGTCCGATGGTAAAGTGTAGCCCACCCTAGCTGAACTCAGTCTATCTCTCAGTCTATCCCTTCACCCTTCTTCACCACCTCTCTCAGCCAGAGGCAGTCGGACATGACTGCGTAAATAAATATTGAACCAATCAGGCTTGACTAAACTGTGGAAGTTAATGACCAAAGTGAATGAACGCTCCAGCAGGTTCATTGAGTTCATGTCAGATAATGGACCGTCAGGTAGTAAACGCACTGGAGCCGTGTTTATTGAGCAGTCAGCTTGTTCGTTCACCAACACAGGCCAGTGCAATTCGTTCATAGCACTCAGTCTTTGGAACTGTAATGACAAGTGACAGATTGATAGAAATTCGTTCCCATATTATTGATTTTAATTAAGCGCAGGAAACTCTGTACCATTTTTGGGTGCATGAAACTTTTAGTGTGTTTCATTGTTTTTGTCAGATGTACAAAAGCATGATGAAGGAAATGAATGCCGCCTCTGTCCCCGCTGATAAATGCATTTTCTTGAAATCTTGAAATGATTTTTTTCAGATGGGGCAGGGCACTGCTTTGTAATTTGGTTTAACAATAGTTATGTTTATGTGTGTTTTTATTAATTAAACACAGCCATGACATGAGAAAACATGAAAACATAATCATAACAACCAATTTTTAACAATGGCATGCTTGCTTTAAGCACTATGGCAGACCCTTTTCTCTCCCTCTTCTGTATTTCTCTCTTTCCTCTTGTATGAAAATGAAGTATGGCAGCAGTTTGTGACTCTGACAGACACATTGAAGGCCATTTCAGAACTTTTACCACAATGTGCTGTTTCCCTCCTCACATTGCAGATACGTTCAAATACATTTCAAATGAAAATGCTTTATTTTTTTATATAAATTTGACTGTTTTCCACTGTTAATATATCTTTAGATAACTAAATTTCAATAAGGAGAGATTACCTGGAAGAATTTAACATGATTTATTGAGATGGAGAAATTCATGTATTTGGTGATTAGACTCTGATGACCCATCATAGCAGAAGAAAATCCCAGCGGTGATGGATTTAGGACAGGACCCCCTGGAGTCTAGACACTGATGGTAGTGAAGATGAAGACTAAGGCTTAAATAGAGCTCTGACTGCGGTGGAGATGGGGAGGTGGTGGGTTGCATGAAAGAGAGTCTAAAAGGTAGGATGACAAGAAAATGATCGAACTAGAGAAATGATGTCAGTACTGAGATTGACAGTGTGGGAAAGCGTAAACATGTAAACAGAAAAGAAGCTGAACACCCAGGAATGCAAGCAGATGAGTGATTACAGATCTTCCTTATTGAACTTAAGCATAAGCTTCATAAAACAGGGGTAGAGCCAAGGGATGGATACGGGGAGCAGCACTGCAGGCTCAAGACTGCCAATCCGTTTGACAACTCAACAACCGCCACATAGTATCAAAGGACTGAAAAGAGAAGCATGTAAAAGTCAATAACAATATTAAACAGCACAATTATATTCAGCAGTAATAATGCTTTTTTATTTCTCTAGGCTGTCTTTTGTCCCTGGCTATTACTGCAGCTCTATTAACCGACTGCCAGTTTTTATTTAAGGAACATGAGTAATGATGACTAATTATTAACTTCTGCCGCCAAATCCAATGCCAACTTTTTACCATGGATTTTACAGAACCATTGCTATGAATGGAATAAAATAAATCTTTCCACTACTGTTCTTTACTTCTTCAAGAAAAAAGCAGATAACACGCACTAAGTAAAGCTAAATAAGCTCTTCTCTGGATTCAGTAGACGAGTTTAGAGTCTGCTTTGGCACTTTAAAACAAAATTCTGAAATGGTCTCATTTCCAGTCTGTCTAATTAGGTTTTCTTGAAGTCATCTTAACACAAGGATCGGCTGTTACCTTGAATAACAACAGAGCTGAGGTGATCTTTTTGCAAAGATGATTTCTTGGGGAACCGACTTCAGTAGATTAACAAAATGCATGGCTATGGCTTTGTGTGAAGGGCTGCCTGCTCTGTTGTTGTTGACTCACATTAATACACTTCTAACACTCTTTAAATGGGCGAAGCCTTTTCAACACATCCAGAAGTGTTTTTTTTTTGTTTTTTTTGACGACTTGCACATTTTGATCTGGATGTGCTCTGTTCCACACAGCACTCACAGATGAGTTGAAAATGAAACGCCTTTTTTCAAAGTGTACAGTGTATACTAATGCTTCTGTGTCCCTGCTGTTAGCTATGTGTGATACCTGTCATCTCCTGGTTCCTCCGAGCCTCCAGCCTCTACGCTCCACTGTAGCTTCCTCTGCTTTGAGACCAGCAGACTCCCTGCCTCTTCATCCTCCTCTTCCTCTTGCTTCTGAGTGACTAATTTCCACAGCAAATGCCCTTGTCTACTGAGCAGCACTAATCAGCTACTTCCCACCAATGGCTACCTTTTGCTAACCTCAGCAGCTTCAGGATCCAGTCATAGCTTCTGCTCCCACCCTTGCAGTTGAGTAGAATAAGACTAGAACAGCACAGTCTGTCATTACTAACAGCTTTCTACAGGTTGTGGAGGAACATAGCAATCTTACAGCTCTTTGGTGAGAGTTTAAGATCGCTCTTGTCAGCCTCTGCGCAAGCTGGATGACACTGAGAGCTAACTGCTGTCAAGGCCCATTTCAGACGCTCTTATCCATGGCATAGAAGTGCTCCAGGGGAGTCTCTTAACAGTAAAGCTCATTTAACCCAGTGTACATTTGCCAAACCAAACCTTAAAGACTATCAAGTCTTAAAAAAATCACTGTAAGGTTGAGAAGTTATTGTTTGGTTTGGCAAATGTGAATCATGGCCTTTCTTCTGAACTTTTCGATGTGAAACATTCAGGATCTTTTTCCATGAAACAGTTTAAACATTGTGACATACTGTGTAATTTCCTTTTAGTAAGAAATCTGATGTGAGGTGTTATCAGGTTCTGCAACTTTGTCCAGAAACCATACTTGATCTGAATTTAATCAGATTTCGACATCACGTCCTTGTGCACCACCAGACTGCTTTCAACTGGCTGCCATTTTTAGATCGCTCCATGAAAGTCGTTCTGACCGCTGACTGTGATTTCAGCATGAACCTCAAACTTGCAGCCTACATGACCTTTTGAGTTTAACATAATTGGTGATGAGAGTTTTTCACCAACAATCTAGAGACAAAAGAGCAGGTATGAATGTACAAAGAACAGGAAAAACTTGAGTAGCTAATGTATTTCCCTCCCCCCAAAAATATGACACAACCACGGTAATTAAGACATACTGCACCACATACACGCATAAATGCTGGCAATGCGTCGGCCGCTCACATTAAAAGATTCACCACAGATGTGAGATTGATCCTGGGGAACAGGATCAGGCATCCTTTAGATGTCTTAGAACAGGGGTGCCCAATCCCGGTCCTCGAGAGCTACCGTCCTGCAGCTTTTAGATGCATCC